CTAAAATTTTCAACTGAGAGAGACATTGACCACTTCAAGTTTTTTTTTTAATATTATAGTTCGGCAAATTTGCTAATATAAACTCAAAGAGAAATTAAGCCACTTCATTCTGTATTGATATTGTAGTTCGACATCTTTAAAAAATTGTACTAACAAATAACGATGATACACAACTGAACATGCACCCTTTTTTCTCTCTTATTTGGACCTTTTGAATAACAATGCAACTAAATACGAATTCAATACGAAGAAAGTTTTCCAATTTCAATATAACGCACCTATATAATTATAGATAGCAATCCTAGACAAATGTTATTAGACCACAATAATTAGTAATAACAATTCAATACACCTGTATACTTGTTATTAATGCTCATCTTTGGAATGCCAATACAATGCACCTACATTATTATTATTAATTATTAAAAAATGTTTAACTAATTAATAATTATAGATGGAGTAATAAATAACAATCCAACGTGTCAATATAGAGCAATTTGATTGGTTTGTCAATCCAATGTGTCAAAATGGAGCAATTATAGAGCTTCCAAAATGTGCCACATGGCGAACACTCTGCATGGGTATTCACCTTATTAATGCACATCTTTGGAATACCAATGCAATACACTTGTATTATTATTATTATTAATTATTAATACAGATCACATTTTTTAATTAATTAATAATTATAGATGAAACAATAAATACCAATCCAACATGTCAAGATAGAGTAATTTGATTGGCTTGTCAATCCAATATGTCAAAATAGGGCAATTCTAGAGCTTCTAAAATGTGTCACATGGCGAACAACCTGTATGGATATTCAGCTTTATACAGTAAAACCTCTCTATAGTGATACTCTATATAGGAATAAACTCTATATAATCATAAAAAATTCTTGTCCCAATTTGGGATAGCTATAAATAAGAATAAACTCTATATTGTAATAAGTTATAATTTTTCTAATTCCTGCCTTAAGGAAAATTGCCTCTATATAGTAATAATTATCTGTATATTACAAAAAAATATACGTTATGTAAAATTAAAGGTTTAAAATGAAATAAAATATTTATTTAAAATTGTTTGGGACAATAATTTATACTTTAGAGTTGTTATCACATCTTTTACCTTACGAGTATGTAATAGCTCGTTAGTATAGATACCTTCTTGTTGAAGCTAAAATATTTTTAGTTTCTCAAGCATGTTTAGAACTTCATGGCACATGACTTTTTGTATTTCCGTACTATTATCTTTAGAATTATTTCTTTTCTCTTCTTGTCTAATTGCAACAATGATTTCTCCTTTGGTTAAAACATACATGATTTGTTGCTCATTTGGATAATCGAAGAAGACATTAATATTCATTCGATTAGTGTAGTGTAGTGAAGTTGTCAAATCTGATCACTCAATTCTATAGTGACTCTTTTATTCTCCTCATCCAATTCATTTGTAACTTATAATTCATTGACATTAGTGGTCCTAATTTTGCAACACTTAAAACCATTGACAATTGTCTATGGCTTCACATCAATTGACCATGCATCAACTGCATTTACAGTTCCATCAATGACACTTATTTTTCCTGGTTCTAAGAAATGAACTTTTATCCATTTCAAAAGTAGGCAATTGAAGCGTTGAATTAAAATCCTAATATTGTACTACTAAAACATGAATTATAAAATAAGAAATCAAAACTATAATTTTTGTAACTACACCTCCATTAAGTTATAACCTCCTTATAGTAATAAAATTAGTTAGTCCTGCCATTATGACTATAGAGAGGTTTTACTGTATATATATTGTATGGAATCTGTTGCCTAACCATTGTCCATAATTCTGATTGTTCAAAGCCCACTGTGATCAATAACTTCACTGTCAAACCATCAATTTGTCTATAGAATGGTAATAGGGCAAATATCGATTATGATATCATGATTTAAGAATGCTTGGAATTTGGACAGAAAAATGTATCATCGAGGTCTACATGCCATTGCCAAGCCATAACCAAGATGTAATTAATTGCGTTTATAATTTGTTATAACTTTTATAGGAACACTGCTAAACCATAAATTTGAATACTTGTCCATGATCTAAGGATGGCCGAAATTTGGATAGCTTGATATATCAGAAAGATAAAACAATTCCATCTGTTCCTATATTAGTCAGTCCTAGCTTATTTTTTATAGTCAGACCAAGTATTAGGCAGCTTGCCTGATGCCAACTTAAAGAGACGTTAAGCCACTTAATTTTTTATTGATATTGTAGTTTGGCATCTTTAAAAAATTGTCTAACAACTAGTGTGGAATCTGTTGCCTAACCATTGTCCATAATTATGATTCTTCAAAGTCTACTACAGTTGATAACTTCACTATCAAACCATCAATTTAGCTATAGAATGGTAATAGAGGAAATACCGATCCACAATTTATCCATGAGGTATCATTGAGGTCTACATTTCGTTGTCAAACAATTATCAAGATATGATTGGTTGCGTTTATAAGTTGCTATAACTTTTCTAGGAACACTGCCAAACCATGAATTTGATCGGAATTTGGATACCTTGATACAATCCCATATGTTCCTATATTGGTCACTTTAGGAATATTTCGTTGGCGCAAGACCAAAGGAAAGGATAGTAAAGATTTTGTTAAACCTACTACTTAGAAAACATTATAAGAACGTCAAGATGGTTAGACCTTCCAGATGCCAATGCAATGCACACATACTAAGAAAAGAAGTAAAAGATTGTCATTCATAATTGGGCGGCATGATTTGCTTAGCAATTTGTTTCTTATAATTCATTGCATAAGATATCATGATCCAGAAAGCACACCTTTGATATATTGATTGAGTATTAATAAATACATAGATGATTGTGACACATACAGTTGAATGCATCAAAACCACCGTATATTGACTACAACCAACAAATCTTTACATCATCAAACGTCAAACCGCAAATGTTCATGCAGGCAAAATAACTTGCACAATAACAACTATCATAATCCAGTAACACCGAACCCGGAATAACCAAATCTTTGAATCACCATCACCATCATACCGAGATACTAACCATGACACTCCCATAGCACAAAAAGTTGACATCCGCAATGACCAAATTCGATACAATAACATTCCATTCATAAATCACAAAATTGAACCTCAACTACTATCGAATTTTGCCACCCTATGACAACAATGCATCGAGCATCACAATTCAATAATAGTTGAGGACCGATCGTGTCACCTGAGAATAGAGTTAGCAAAAACAATACTCACACAAGTCTTGTTAACATAAAACAATCCATAAATGTTTCATGTAGCTTCGTCCCAAAACAAATGCTTACATATCGGCCGGAACAATCAGATAGCATGGCCAAAAAAAAATGCTTAATCTTTAGACAAAGTACAAATCATGAACATTTAATGTTACTCAGCGTCAACAATACAAGGAAAAACTAATTGCCCCTCACATGAACATACCGACAACAAATACTCACTGTTCGGCCAAAATTATAAGCTGAAAATAAAATCAGCAAACATCAGTGACCATATAATTCATGCTAATCGATTGCAACCACAGACATACCAAATCAATGACCTTACTGAAGACTTAATAAACACAACTTGGTACGGAACACGCTGGCCATTGTATAAACACATCAACTTTTTTCACTGTAACTTGAAAATGAAACCAACAAAATCAATGAATTCACATTTTATGTCGATCGATCGGCAGAAGAGACGCACTAGATCAATGACTCTACCAAAAAAATAATAAACACAAATCCTCATTTTCTTGAAAACAAACATAACAAAATGTAATCGATCTTTGTGTTAACATTGTTAAAGAACTATTATCCATTTGTATAAAAACTAGTACCTAAAAAACGGAAACAACAAAAGTTAATTAAAATTCATATTAAAATTATCAAGGAGCACACTCACCGTTCGGAAGGAATAACACAATCAATCATTCAAATAAATTGACTGAACAAAAATAATCATTAAATCTAACAATAACCGTTAAAATAGTTAGGAGACGTAATTACAGTTTCGTATTAAAATACTTAGAAGATATACTTTCAGTTCATAAGAACAAATCAAAATAACAACTCATCTAACAGTATCAATCCGACATCTTACCTTTATTCCATGCCAATTCATGAATCTCTGACCTATAAACAACAACAAAAACATACATAAATAAAAAACTATTGATCAAAATGCACGTGAAGAACATGCATATTATTTTCACAAACTAAAATAACATATAGACAATTAATAAAAGACCAGACATATTGTTGATGCCAACTAACAAATTGCGATGATACACAACTGAACGTGAGCCCCTTTTATAACCTCTTATTTAGACCTTCTGAATACCAACACAATTAAATACGATTTTAATACGAATAAAGTTTTCCAGTATCAGTACAATGCACCATATAATTATAGATAACAATCCTAAACAAATGTCATTAAACCACGATTAGTAATAGCAATCCAATACACTTGTATACTTGTTATTAATGCACATCTTTGGAATGTCAATGCAATACACCTGTGTTATTATTATTATTATTAATACATATTCTTTTTTTAATTAATTAATAATTATAGATGGATCAATAAATATCAATCTAACGTGTCAAGATGGAGCAATTTGATTGGCTTGTCAATCCAATGTGTCAAAATAGAACAATTCTAGAGCTTCCAATATGTGCCATATGACGAACAACCCGCATGGGTATTCATGAATCTTAGAGCTAAAAATATCTCATTAAACCACACATCCAATGTGGCAATAGAGAACAATGCTAGAGCTTCAAAATAAAGTAATTTTAGAGCTCAGAAAAAAAGAAAAGAAGAGAAAAAATTGTCCTTATCACTCAAGTAGGTATGCTTTTACTTTTGGATTTGGAATACCAATACAACAATTAATCTCTTTTTACATCATCACCAATAAAATTTAACCATATGACAACCACAAATCCTTTGTGTTAAAATGAAACAATTCTATGTGTTACAAAATGAAAAATAATAAATAATATTACTGAAAAATCTAGAAGAGTAGATAATTTAAAAATAATTTTTTTTATTTAATTTAATTTTGATGGTTTTGAGTTTTGACACTTTTAATTTAATTTTTACTTAATATTTGAACTGATTATTCTTCATGAATTTTATCTTGATCAACTCCTTGGTGTAAAGGAAATCGTTCATGAGAGGGAAAGGAGGACACAACACAACGCACAACAATGGCAAGCAAGAGATACATACACCAATAAACCTACACCATAGCTATTAACGCAACACCACCCGGTTTTGCGTTAATTTTATTCTCATCTTCAAGCTGTTTTCCACAGCTCCTGGAACCTCAATTCTCCAGAAACCACACACTAAAAACCCTCACCATAACACCCACAAACAACTGATTTAGTACATTTCAACAATGGAGACGAAGGTAGAAGAGAAGCGCAACAAAATCTACAAAATGTCGTCGTTTTTAGTTTGGGTCATAGCTTCAGTGATTTTCAGGCTAATTTTAATTTACTTCCCAAAAAATCTCAACTTATCTTCTCGTCCCGAAGTCTCCACTCCTCTCACCAGCATACGTCGTCGTACTGTCTCTTCCTATCACTCTCTCTACGCGCTGAACTAAAATCAATTCATGATCTGAATTTTTGACCTTTTTTTGTTTTAATTTTTTCCAGTGGCGGAGGGATACTGGCTAAAGCAATCATCAATGTCTCCATATGCAGGTTTGCTATTTCTTTGTTTCGTTCTTTTCGATTTATGAGATGTTGTTTGTAAACATTGGTTTTCTAACTTGCAGGTTCAATGTATCATGGTTCTCCTCTGTTACTTTCTGTGCTTGGGCCGCTTACCGTTAAAAGGTGCTAATTGAGCTCAATTAAAGTTATAACAATTACATTAAAGAAATGATGAATTGTTTATTTGGTTAAAGGTGGCGTTTGTGTGCTTTTTGCTACTGATTTAAAAACGCGTTCAAATAACCCAAAACACTAATGTTATGTTTTGTTAGTATTTGCTGAAATGTGCTAAATCAGTTTTCAGAGCAAAGAGCACTCAAGCGTTTAGAGGTGCAATTTTTAGTTTCTTTTTGAAATGTGTTTAAATTTAAATACTTTAGGCAGATGAATTGTTATTGGTTTCTGATACTTGTTTGATATGTATTTTAATTTGTTGGTGCAGAATTGAAAGGCAACCCGATCAGCTTCTATGCAGGTACTAAATATTAGGTCTTAGACTCTTAGTTATTCAAATGTTATGGTTATGGCCGTGTTTGGTATCATGGAATTGGAGTTGAATTGAATTGGCAATGCCAACCCCTAATTTTTGGAAGAAGATGACTATTCATTCTGGCCAATCCAAATTCTATGTCCAGTTCCAACTTGGCAAATGGAATTTGATTTTACTTACAAGTCTATTGGCGATAATTGTCACTTTTATAAAGTGAATGGATTATTCATTTTAGGTGTTTGGTAGTATTTTAGTATGCTAACAGTTTTATGTGACAATTTGAGACTTAGTTTTTTTAAGTGATAGAAGTTTTGCGTATAACCTGGATGAATAGACCTGGTTTTTGTTCATATATCAAGTATGTGGTAACATATGGAATGGATGTTAAATGCACAATTCTCATATACTTTTGTGTGAGGCTCTCTTAGTTCAAGTGGCTGAGTTGTTCCACTACTCATGTGGTGCAACTTTGGCTCTTCTACCATTTGATTGCAGAGACACACAAACGAGAGAAAAAAAACGGCACGTACTTATTTACAGAAACCTTTTCAGATAAAAAAAATTAAAAATGAAGAAAAAGCTCTTGAAAGTAGCAAACAAGAGTTTGGACATTGTAAAAGTAAACTTATGCCTCTGCTATTTCTTTGTTCTGTACTTTTTTATGTATAATATTCATAATAATTAAATTATCATAAAAATGTTTTAATCCTGAACACAATTATTATGTGAGTGATGATTCTACGCCCTAGCTGAGGTATATAGCACTTTCTGTTAGTCTGTTGAAATCAAATATCTTTTGTTGGTGTTAATGGTAGGATATCTGCCGTCCATTACTCATTCTGATAATCTGGGATTTCCATTCCATTCTTCTTTCCTTCTTATGCTTAACATAATTCATTTAGTCTTTTGGTTCTTTTTTTCTTCTTCCATTCCTTTTAAAATCTTTTCTCCATTTAGTTATTTAGTTGATATCAACACATATTTGGATACAGTTTGCTTTTTGTGCTTGCAGATGTCATGAGTGCTATGCTTCTTCGTGCTACCGGTCAGAATCTTCAGGCAGCATATACTCAAAGATTGAAATCCCTAGAACTTCATGAACTGTCAAAAAATTCAGGTAATTTTATTTGTTCAGAGCAAACTGCTTCTTTCAAATTCTGTTGTGCAGAGGATATTATAGGATTATTTCAGTTTTCATTGATCATTTATTTAATTTCTTAAATGTGACCCTGGATAAAATGATTAGAAGATTGAAAACTTGTGAATGAGAGATGGCTTTAGTTTCTTGATTGTCATCTATAATATATTGTGCTTTAGTGTGTGGTAAGATCATCATTGTCCTTTTAGAGGATTAGTTTGGTTCTGGTGCTGCAATTCTTCATGGAGCTCTGCTTATTGCCGCCTAGTCTTTCTTCTCTTTTATGAATGTCTTATTAAATTGCTGAGAAGTTTGGATAAAAATAAATGATAGCATGGAACCTTGAGAAACTTAATTTGAATTTTTTAATGAATTCAGTAAGATTCCAAGTTAATTTTTTTGATAAACTTACAGAGATCACAATGGTAAATTTTGCTTCAAGATGCTTAAATCTTTGTGTTCAGGTGCCAATTCTTACATATTTCCTGCTTGTCCTTCCTTCCCCTTTCCTCACAAGTATCAGCGTTACTTGCAGAGATTTTTTCTTCTGGAGATATTGCCGCTCTTGTGTACTTGTGGAATCCTTTCACAATAGTAGCCTGTGTAGGTTTGTCCACATCACCAATTGAAAACCTGGCCATCATATCATCTCTCTATGGAGCATGTAAAAGTAAGAAATTTCAATTCTTTGTCAGTACTTGGGTACTTGTTGTCTGTGCCTTTCAATTCTTTGTCAGTACTTGGGTACTTTTTGGTTGAATGCTTGTGAAATTTAAAGAATAAGGTCTACATTTTTAGAGGTTTACCAAGGCATTGATAGTCCTTTCTAATGTTTCCACCTTTCTTTTCCCATATGCGTATTTATTTATTTATTTTGGGGTTGTAAAGATATGAATATCTTAAAAATATTTTTAAAGAGTATATGTTTCATGCACACTTTTGATGTTTCAGTTCCTGGCTTTTTTAAAATATTTGGAACAATTTATGGGTAGAGGCTCATAGGTTTTTTGTTAATATATATGCCTAGTTTGACAAAGAACCGCTGCTTTGTGTGTATTGTACCAGTCATGAAAAATTATTTTCAGGTTGCCATTTCATAAATATTGACACTATAAGTCTGCTTCACAGTAAGATTATTTGGAATTTTAATTGATTAAGGCACACTTGGTTAAAACTGTGAGGTCTTAGGGGATAGGGTTAGACTTTTTGTTTCTATTTGGGCTTTAGTTTCAAAAGAATTTATGGACTTTTTTTTTCTTTATTCATCTTGATTTGGGTGGGGGTTGCTTGTTTTCATGGAGGGAAAGGAACATCAGTCACTATCTTAGTATCTTGTATAGATTTGTCTCCCTCATTGGTTTTTTGATATTTTTGTGGATCTCTAATCCACTAATGTACCTGCCTCAATCTCTCTTTTTAATATATAGTTTTATCGTTTCCTATTACCACAACCCCCTCCCCCCCAAAAAAAAAATGTAATTGCAATTTATTAATATCGTTTGTTGGATGGAATGTAGGGACTAATTTATTAAATATCATTTGTTGGATGGAATGTAGGACTGCCTCCCTTGGCTGCTTTTGGGTGGGTTAAGGCTACTCATCTATCTCTTTATCCTGCAATTTTAATTATTCCGGTATGTCTTTTTGTCTTTATGAATTAGTTAAAGTCTAATAAGAAACATACGAAGAACTTATGTGAAATTCCTTAGTGCTTTTTTTTATCGACTCTGCATATAGTAACTATTGTTAATTTTTTTTCCAGTTGATTATTTTACTAGGATATGGTCCAGATGCTCCTCCTAGTAAATTGTTCCTTCAAAGTAGATGCAGCAAAGGTGGAGATAATCCCTTAAGTAGTACATCTTGTCAACAGGAGGAACTGACCTTCTCAGGGAAACCAGTCATTCATTTTTTGTTGTGGATTTCTGTCTGGTCTGTCTATGTGCTTATTCTTTGTGGCATATCGGTTCAACAGAATGGTGGTCTGCTGGAGATGTTTAAAAGGTATTCTTTATAAACTCCATTCTGTACTTGTCATCTGTATGTTAAATCGGAAAACTATTTTTTAGAGCTAATCTTCTCTATTCGTACCCTTCTGCATGCCAAACAATGTCCTGCTTATAAGGCATGATACTTGTAATTAACTTTTATGGAACAGGAGTTTGATTAGATAGTGGTCAGTATCACTGCTTGAGTTATCAAAAGAATTTGAAACTGCATAATAATAAAACTGGTTGGAGGTTTCTTCCTGAAGTTCATATAATCCATGTGGATATTTTGGGTTAATGATTGATTATATGTCAAGTAGTTCTGTACTCAAATCTGATGCATTCAGTTCTGAGTTCAAGACCCTAATATTTGGAAGCCTAAATGCTGAAAAGTTATTTCTCATGGCTGTCTACCTCTACTTAGATTTTCTGGTTCCCTTTCAGGATTTCTTCGTATTAGATTTAAGTTGTCTATCTACCTTTTCCATTTTCTTATTGGCTTGTTGGTGCCTTTCTTGTATATGTCCTGTTTATTTGGGTTGTAGTTTTGTTACTAATAAAAGAACAAAATTGGAAAACTGATACTATTACAGAGTTCTCACCTTCATATATTCAGAAGATTTAATACAGAAGTTCCTTAGGTTAAGTGATCCTCTTTGCTATACATTCTACCACCAACTTTGTACATGAGCATTATCTGCCAAGATGTGAGAATCAATTCTTTTTATGGAATACTAGCTTAATGTAAACCAGTTTGGTTGAAGTTCATCCTTTTGGCTTTCCTTGGTCACACTGCTCAAGTACATTTAGCATCATGGTTAATCAGATAGAATGGTTTTTGATTTCAGCATTGTCATTAATTTTGATGTCTTATTAATTCATCTTTATAATTATAATATTAAGATATACAATGCTGTGGTATATCAAGTAAGAGAGCTCTTCATTTTTCCTTTCATGGCCATATAAAAGCTTACTCTTCGTACATGTGGCTTGTTTCTGTAGTACATACGGGTTCATCCTCACTGTGGAAGATTTGTCTCCAAACATGGGTGTTTTGTGGTGAGGCAAATTGATTTTTGTTTTATGTAGAATTGAGAAATTTTATCCTATATGTGAGGTGTTTCATTATATCTTGTGCACCTGATTTTTCTTTTGGCAGGTACTTCTTTGCTGAAGTTTTTGAATTTTTCAGAAATTTCTTTTTGATAGTATTCCATGTGAATATTCTATTCATGGTATTGCCATTGGCCATACGGCTGAACCACCGACCTTGCTTCTTGGCTTTTGTGTACATTGCTATCTCATCGATGCTTAAATCTTATCCTTCAGTAAGTCTACAGTTATTTGCTTGTTTTACCCCAATTTAGGTTGGTTTTGCTAATCTGTCCCAATATATTGCACTTGAGATTGTATGTAACAAACTCTGATGCGAACTTAATGTGCTCGTTGAGAAAAACTAGTGTACAACTCGTTCAAAATACACAAGTCTTTGTGGGATACTAGAAGCTATTACTTTCCTGTTTTAAAGAGTTACATTTTGTAGACTTGGTGCTGTCTATGAGTTTTCTATTCCCTCCCAACCCTTTTGGGAAAAAAAAAAAAAAAAAACCATCAAACTTTATTGAAAAAACATACCGGAGTAGGGATGACTAGTTGCTCCTATGGAAGTTTTTGGCAAAGCTTTTATCTTTTGTTCTTTATACTGGAACAATTGAAGTCTTTGGTACAATCTGTGAAACATATCTTTTATACTAGCTGTATGCTATTTCTGTGCTTCCCCTTTCATAAATATTAAGTTTCAGAATTCACCTTCAGATTTGCTCCCGGCCAAAAGTTTCTCCCTGAGGATAATCATCCCAGTTGCTGTGATAACAGATAATTGATGAGTTTTATACTTATATTGTGGATTTTGTTTCTGAATTTGTTTGATGTTGTTATCTAATTTGTTCATCCTCTGTGGTTTGGTTTTGATTAGGTTGGCGATTCAGCTTTATATTTGGGTTTGCTAGGTTGGTTTGTTTTTGAATTAGCAGGCAAGTGAACATGACTCTTTTGTTACTGGTGAATTCTGACTTGGTCTAGCATTTTAAAACCCTCTATCTTCCATGCCTATACAGATATGCAATTCTCCTTCTTCCTCTTTTGCGGATATGTCGGAGTTTCCCTTCTCAGCCCTGTTATGCACAATCTATGGATATGGAGGGTATGCCTTTTCCTTGGATTTCATATAATTGGATTAAATGACTAAATAAATTAAGGCATAAATTTAGATCTTGACTTAATGAAATTTATAGGGTACTGGCAATGCAAACTTCTATTATGCAACTGGTATGGCTTTTGCTTGCTTTCAGGTTCGTTACAACTGCCTAACAGCTACTTATTTTTTGTTGCATCAAATAGTTCAAAAGGAAAGTCTATATGAGGATAATGTAGTTTCTTTTTATATATAGTTAATTTTATAACAGAAATTGCTAAATTATTATCACATGATGATATTGACATTTAGGTTCCTAACAGTTACCGTTTTGCTAATTTCTGCTGATTTTGGCAATTCAAGGATGTATGGTTTTCTCTCTAATTTTTCTTGGCTTCTATTTTAATTTCAATTGAATTTCTGATTCATAATTAAACTCTGAGGAAGAGAAAAAAAATATTTTTTGTTAACTTATTCTATACATTTTGAACCAAATTAAGAAATCCTGTAAGCTTTTTGTGATTTCAATATGTTTTTGTTTCTGAATCTCTTTTCCTATATTCTAATACGAGTATGTCTTCCAAATTGTTGTTTTATTGAATGTAAGTCAAATTGGCCAGTGTTTTGAATTTCTAGATAACACAGTGAAACCAGAGCAGGATTTATATGCTAGTATTTTAACCGGTCGATGTATTCTAAAGATAATTACGATTTTATTTTTCAATTTTCTGTCTCGTAATGCATACATTGACCTCCCATTTCAGATTATTCTGGTGGTCGAGAGTGTAAGTGCAATACTCAAGCACGACAGGACATTGAGAAAGTTGTCCGTCACGTAATCTTGAGATGTTGAATTTTTATTAGTTCTTGCTACTATACCTGGTATAGTTCTTACCACTCATCAGAGATCCTCAACAACGTCAAGCCACGGGGTGTTACCATTCTTACTTTCAAACGGAAAGTTAATTAACTCATCCCCTTGAAAAACCTGTTTGTACGTTTTTTATGTAACGCTCAACATAATCGATTATCAATTGTCAGTTAACAGTAGTGCTTTACAGTTTTGATTTGCTGTACTTCTTGTTATGGGTGTCCAAAAAAATGCTGAAACTGGTTAATCGGTTATCCGAAAAACCTATTTGGTTTTAGTTCAAAGAAATATAAAAACTGGTTTTCTTTTGATTACTGGTTTATGAGAATATGGAAACCGATTTACTATAAAAATATTAAATTAAAAAAATATAAAAGTATTAAATATTAAATTAAAACCGTTTCAAAACCGGTTTTTCTCTTAACTGGTTCGTTTTCGGTTCAAGAATTTGTGAAATTATGTAAGTGAAATTCATACATGACAAATTATAAGTGTGAATTGCCTGCCAGAAAGTAGCAAAATCATTATAGTTTATTAAATTGTTTTTGTGTGGTTCACATGCATTTGAGTATGGTTTCTTGTGTGAATATAAATACTTGGTCATTGCTGACATTCGATTGCCTCCCATCTTTCCGTATTTGGTTTTCTGACGGCCAAGCCCAAGTTCCGGTAACAAGAGGGGCCCAAGCCCATTAACGTATGCTTTTTAACCAACTAACAAACATTTTTGTTTTTATTTCCAATTGGACAGTAAGTATGGATAAAATTAGGCTTTAATTATACTGTTTGACCATTTTTGTTTTTTTTTTTTCAGTTTTATAGAGTCAAAAGTAATTCATAATGTGGGTACCTGTCAAACCTAACAAACGTTTTACCTGTTTCTGTCAAAATACTAAAATTAAAAAATATAAATATTCTTAATCCTTCGTTAAACTTAAAGTCTAATTTGAGATTAATCTGCTAACCTCATCAAGGATATAACAAAATATAAGATTATTAAAGTAATATAGCTTAGTTTAAAGTCCTACCATTTTAATCTATAACATAACTCATCAACTAAATTAAACTACTATTCCTCTTCTTTAAAGTTTATTTAATTCTCAGTCCCTCTATTAGAATCTTCTGTAAAATTTTCAATGACATACGAAAAATATTTATTTGAATAAGAACATGATATAAATAATAATTAATCAGCCAGCGCTGGATTTTGTTTACCAATAAATAATATTACTGAAGAATAGACAATTTAAAATAAAATAATTTCATTATAAAAACATTCATAATTTAGTTCTAGAAAATCTTGTGGCCTGAAAATTGATAGCGTAAAGAGGACATTTCTATATAGTCGTCTAACGTTAAACTCTTCAGTCAACAAAATTATATTTAATACAATAATTAATAATAGAACTTTCTCACCGCCCCCATTCCCTTCTATTTTAATTTGATTTTGACACTCAATTTAATTTTTACTTAATATTTTAATTGATTTAGTTCAAATTTTTTAGATTAGATTGGATTAAACTAAATTTTGAGAGTTAACACTTTTTCCCACCCAAATAATGGTTTAATGACACTTTCCTGCTCCAGATTTTTAAAATACTATTTTACTATTTAAATTTATATTTTTGTAGCGAACAAAGAGAAAATTCAGTTCAAGTTATTCAGATTTTAAAAAAGGGGAGGTTGATGGGTTTTTTGGTGGTGGAAAGTTGGATTTTGGTAATTAAGATTGATTGAAATTTGACTTAGGAAGAGCAGTTGCATAAATTCTTATCACTCGATTGTTGGCGATTGACAAGGTCGACGGAAGTAGGGTTTGAGAGGTTTTGGTGAGTGATGATTAGCAAAGAAAATAGTGATGGTGTGGGGTCACAATAATGCCGGATCAATGAAACGAAATATAAATTTAGATTTTAAAGTATTATTTTAAAAGTCTATAAGTGAAAAAATGTCATTAAGTCATTATTTTGGTGAAAAAAAGTCGCTGACTCTAAATTTTAATAACCAAAACTTAATTCTGATCAAGCTAATGATCAAACTTAATTCTGATTTATTTTTCAAAATTTTGCATCTTAATATTTGAAATCTGATTGATATAATATTTAAAAATTGCTTTCATATTAAAATTAAAAAAAAAAAAAAAACATTTTAATGAAAAATGTCTTGTATGTTGTTTTTCAAAACAAAAAAACTTTATCTAAATTCTATGTTGATTTAGAGTCTAAAGACAAGATGGTAAACAAATTCCTCCACGTGAAAGGTTCCAAGTCCAAACCTTGATTTTTGAACAAAGAAAATTTGTAGCTACTTAAGTCGATTTTCATGACAAATTAAATGTTAAAATCCGTTGGATTGAAACTGAAACGGTCAGCAATCAGTACATTTGACTGCTTTATAGCTGTTAATTTAGAAAATGTTTAAACTTGGTCAATTCTTTACTTGATTAACTCATTGAATTCAAACTGGTAAAACCGGTAACTATTTGAATATAAAATTACGTATGAAATTAATGCATTAGCTTCCTTCATGCCTCAGTTACAGCTCCGCAACCTGCACTTACTCTTTCACTTAATTTATCGTATCCCAAAAAGATCAACTGTTTATATAAACAAATCCAAGACACAGTTTATTATTGCTGCCAAGTAGCACTTGCCGGTCCTTTCTGGTTGTATTTGTACATAGACTAAATAACTTTTTCCCACCCAAGGTTTGCCTTAATCACTCTTCCACCCAAAAAGTTTTAAAATATCACTTTCTCACCCAAAGTTTATATTCCGTTAATACCCAGTATACATTTCATTTTCTTAGCTGGTGTTCGGAAAGTTACCAAGAGCCAAGGTAAGAGAAAATTTGTAGAGTAGAAGCCTGGTGGATCAAATGATGGTGACTCATAACTTTGCAATGATTGACAATCGATGAGAAATTATGTGTCAGAATGAGAGGGTTTTTGTAGAGAGAAGACTGGACGTTCAAATGACGGTGATGGAGAGAATTTTTGCCTCCTGAATCGGTCGGAGTTGGCTTTGGGTAGTAACGAAATATAAACTTTGGTTGGGAAAATGGTATTTTGAAACTTTTTAGGTAGAAAAGTGTCATTAAGGCAAACCGTGGTGGGAAAAAGTGGCTTACTCTTGTATATATCCTCTCAGATAAGCTAAAGAATTTTATATGAAAGGTTTTAAGGGATTAATTCAATACATGAGATGAACTTATAATTCAATTATTGATTTCTGATAACAACCCCACTGCTTATTTTTGAAACTTAATAACCAGTTAAACACTCTAAATAATTTTGTTTAGAGGAAAATATATACAAAATTATGTCATCTTATCATAACCTTGACTAACTCTAATTATATTATCTCACATTATTACTCGAAAATCACGCCTCTAAGATTGCTCAAAGTCTTGTTAAAGACTGTAAATCTTTGAATAGATGATATATTTATGTCATTTAATTATCAATACAAAATTATGAATTTTATTTCATTGCAAAGACTTCATGGAACGTCATCAAGCACACTTCACACTCAAATTTAGAACATAACAAAACTTGGACAATATTTTTTGCGAATAACTATGTATAAGTTGTATGATTGATTTGTGTTTTTGTACAATAACTGAACTGTAAAATTATCTCAAAGATCATCACTTCAAAAAGGCCTCTTCAGGTCCTTGAAATCCATGGAATCAATACACTCCAATCTATCCCTATAAAGATTCAACAGCTTCAGCAATTCAGTCACTTTCTCCTTCGTTTTCTCGCCACAACCCAATTGCAAAAGCAACAAGAGTTTCTGAAAAGCCCCCACTTGAAGCGTCTCCGCAAGGGCGAATTTCTCCTCCCTCTTCTCATTCATGCACAGCTTCCATAAGATGGAGACCGAGGCCTCCGTCGCCATATCCGAAATACGCAGTATTTTCTTCACTATAACCGGCACTGTTAAGGCATGATTGTAGGCCTCTTCTCTTCCATTTTCGAAGCTGAGAATTCCATCGAGAACACATAGCGCCTTTTCGCATAAGCTTCTTTGAGCGTCCAGGAGAATTTCTAGGAGTACTGAGACTAGCCCACTATCAACAAGTTTCGATACGATTTTCTCATTTGTAGTAGAAAATGTGACCATGTGATGGATGACGATCAATGAGGCTTTTGTGGAAGTCGGGCAAATGGGCTCTTGGATCAGCTTGAATAATGCTTCCATGACGCCTTCGATTTCTAATAATACGTTTACTTTTCTTTGCTCCGAAGAAACGATCTGTTTCAGCACAAAAACGGCGTTTCTTCTCCGGGATAAATCCCCGCTCTTGAGAAACCAAACAATGCAATGCAGAGATGAAGATGATCCCAAATGAGACACTGCCTCTCCGTCGAGTGGAAACACTAACGTTAAAGCTGACAATATTTCCTCCAAAATGGGAACGTTTTCTTCGAAACATGTTTTCGAAAACCCTTCAAACGCTGCTGATAAAACACTTCCCGTCCCATTCCCGGCAATGCACCTCTTATTTCGTTCACTCTCCTTCACCAAAGTCTTGATCTTCATCACCAAATCTCTACACTTAACTTGATCCTCCTTTTTACTCGCCATTGTAATCTTTGAAAGAATCTCAGAAACCTCCATGGAACTCACGGGAATTCTCGGCGTGGGGATTCTCTCAATGCCGTGAGACCGATTCTCAACGCACCAATCCTGAATCATTTTCCTTATGGTATGATTCGGTATCGCCTCAAGACTCGTTAAAACCTGATTAGTAATGGGGCACGTAACGTTACCGGTCTCAATCCACTTCTCAATGTTCTCGCGATCATACGTGATCCCAGTCGATAACGTGACCGGATCTTTCATCAAGTCCAGCGATATCGGACAACGGAAATGATTTGGTGTCGTAAGCTCCATCTCGGAGCCCTCTCCACCGAGCAGCTCCTTGGCCGCCCGCCGTGCAGCCCTACGCCTTTTCCATGTAGAAATCATGATCATAAGCAAAGTTAGAAAAAGATATATGTGTTATGCTAAGAATATATGATTCAAGGTATGTTTTAAGATGAGAAGATGGTTTTGTTTTGCGTTTGTGAATTGTGTTCTTTGTTTTTGAAGATGGGAAGATGGGAATATATATATATATATATATATATATGTGTGTGTGTGTACGCGGCTGGGGTTGTGTTCAACATTCAAAGGTGGATTAAATATTTGAATAAAATAAAGAAGAAGATGAAAGTTTGACCGTTGAAAGTTTGAAATGGTAAAATGAAAGGTCAAGGTGGGTGAGGTGGGTTTTATTTAGAATGAATCAAAGTTTTGAAACGGGGCATCAACGCACAGGTCGGTGGACTGGCTGACCTTAACTTAATACGACAGCCACAACTTGCTTCTCTTACGTATTTTGCTTAATTACGCACTAGTCCACTTAATTTCCAATGGAAAATGATAGAGCCACCGAAGGCTGCATATCGAATTTGTACGTTGAATGATGTAACAAAATATTGACTGTTGATTAATATTAACTGATAATGAATGAACGGTTATGATTTTGTCACGTCATTCGGTACACAAATTCGATGCACAACCATTAATAACTGTAGAATTACTCATTTCCAATTACCAAGAGAGAGAGAGAGAGAGAGAGGGGTATTTTAGGAAAAAAATATAATTATCTTTATTAAAATTTTAATATTAATTTTACTATAATCATATTTAAATATAATTGAATTCATCATTATTAAGTTGAAATAATATTTTACCGATGAATTTAATTGTATTTAAGCATAGGCTTAACAAAACCAATATCAAGAAATCCTAATTATAGAATTACTGTGTAGTATATATGAGTCAAGCTATTGTTGATTTATGGTAATCCAATGACTTAGAAATTGCTTAATTGACATAAAAATATAATTAACTCTAATTTTTAATCCAAAGCCATTGAACTATCATAAATCAATGGTTATGGATTTCTATCACAAATTTGTGTTAGAATAACCTAACTCATTATATATATTTATAGAGAGGGAGGGGTAATTTATGAAAAATTATATAATTATTCTATTGAAAAATTTATTAAATTTTTATCGTTTTATAAGTGAATCGTAATATATTTGATATACAAGAAGATTTATTAAACTTTTTCTCATTTTCTTACCATTTTAAGATTTGCATGGAAGAAAAGAGTTATTTTAACCCCAAGGGGTTGTCCTAACATCAAGAAGGTTTGCTTCCTTCATTGACTTTCTAGGTTCAAACTACCTTGGGGTCACCTACCACATTTATGAGTATGGGCTTATCTTTAACCATTGGATTTATTAGGGGCCGTTCAATGGACTCTAAGGATTAATTAAGATGCATGTAAGTTGACTCAGACACCTTGATCATTAAAAAAAAAAAAAAAAAGCCTTGGACTATTGGGTTTGTAGGGTGTTTAATGAGTCCCGAGATTAATTAAGATATGCGTAAGTTGGTTCTAACACCCTAATCATTAAAAAAAGAAAAAGAAAAAAGAGTTAGTTTTGAGTAGAAAAAGCATACCAAATCATTTTTATATATGTTTTATGATATACATAAACACTTAAAAAATTACCCATCCGAAATAGGCCTAAAAAATGTTCAACTTTTGAAAGTGATAGTATGTGTAGTCGTTTATTTGAAGGAATATTGTATTTAATATAATAGTTGTTCATAATTTCACATTTATACCATACGCGTAGCAAACGCGCACCCGGGCCACCGTTTTGGCGGGTATGATGATGGTCCAAGTGTTAAAAACGTGTCTAGAGTGTTTGTGTTTTACAAGAAAACCCATACGTTGAGTTTGCAATGAACCATAATTGCATTTCCCCACACGTAAAATTAATCTCTCTACGTAAAGTATGCACATTTCCTTCATTTAAAATGATGACCAGACCAGGATCGCTCTTATCTGGGTAAAGAATTCAATTTAGTTTTGTACTGCTATAACTATTTGAGGTCAATAAATAAACATTAGTGTAAAGTTGAAGGAGAAATTAAAGAGAAGTTGAGCAACTCTTGCTATAACTTCAAAATAGTGAAAACCGCCTGATAACGTCAGTAAGAAAAAAAAAACAAGTGACGATAATTAAAGGTAAGGGACACAGTCACACAGCAGAGTTGTTCGTTTTAGACCATTTTTGAAAAAAAGAAAGAGGGAAATGTAGACATTAATAAAATCAAGCCAAGATGAGCATGAAGATTTGAGACTATTTATAATAAAAAAATGCCCAGGACTCGTAAAATTTTAAAAAGATAGTAATGTGGTGTCAAAATGGTATTGGGTATCTAGAAAAGGTGAATATTATGTAATTAAAATAAGATTGAAAATTCAACCTCTCCTGCTAGCCATGACTTTTACTAGAATACTATTACTCACACTGTATGCTGCTTTATATTTAGTACTCTTCCAAAGAGGAACATGGAAAGATTTATTCTTATATATAGACCATGGTTGGTGGCTCGGTGCCTACCAATTTTGAGTCCAAACATTATTTTAAAATCCTCCAATTTGGTGGATCAATAACGGGAGATCAAGTCACAACTAAAACTTCATATTTTTTACTCTTAAAATGGGCTGTGATTGTGTGTGTTAACTTAAGATATAAAAAATATTGCTCTTTTGATAATAAATCTAATTGTGGGGGAGATTCTGAAGTCATAAACACAATTTCTGAATTGGGCCAAGAGTTTGCAAGTTTTGAAATATTCCACTATTCATTGGCTCTGGGTCCATTAAGGCCTTTCTAAGGTCTCAATCAAATTTGGGCCTAGTGCTCAAGAATGAATAAGATTTCGATTTTGTATAAAACTCTGATGTGCTAAACCATGCAAATAATCAAGACCTCTAGCAACATCCATGGCAATGCCTAGCCTTTGACTCCATTGAAGTGGTTTCAATCCTCCCTCTTTCCAATTGAATGGATGCTCAATGAGGCTTCCCTGTGGCATGTATTCATAGACAAGAAGCCTCGCATTTCCATCAAGAAGTGCCACCAAATGACAATGTCTAACCTTGGTAAGAACTTCAATTTCAGACTTTTAAACTATGTCAATCCTTGCTCGCTTACCGCACCAGGTTTCATCCTTTTTACAGTCATTTTCGTCCCATCAAGCAATTCGCCTTTGTAAGCAGTTCCGAAGCCACCTCTTCCCAATATGTTTTTCTCACTGAAATTATTAGTCACATTTCTCAAAAATTTCCAGTACTTCAAATTCTTTCGTTTTCTGATATAGACAGTAACTCCTACTACGACAATAAACATGATATGTTTAAATCGAACTCAATCCTAACTAGTTCTACTATCAAACTCACCAACACACACAACACACGAATCAAACAGAAAAGAAAAACCAAGAACACAAAGATTTTTACCGTAGTTCACTTATTTTAATGGAATAAGCTACATCCACGTTGAGCTTCAAGTAATTTAGGGTTCATTGTACTATAAGGATCAAGATCGTATAACTTACAAACCAATCAATACAAGAATACCCAAGGGTATACTTGGTTCATTATTCTGATACTTTTTAGAATAATATTTTGAAAAAAGTAAAATTGGGTGGTTATTATGATGTAGGATTTAAAAATTAACAAAAATACCCCCTAGGTTTGTTTATTTACTAAACACCTCTATAATAAAATATTAAAAATTAACAAAAACAGCCACCCATTAAATACTGATAGCCGGCCACCATTGCCAGAGAGTGGCCGCAGTCGTTGTATCGGTGCATGACTGGCTGGATCTAGCTGGTCGTACGCCGATATGGCATTTTTCGGTCAGATCTACGGCTAGATTTGGCTGCATTTGGTCGTCAACGATGACCAAAGATATGGCTGTCGTTGACGACTGGCTACGGCCAAAGATCTGGGTGGCCAGATCTTTGGCCGTAGATCTGGTCTTTTTCGGCGCACTATTGGCCAGATCCAGCCGTCAGTGCGCCATTATACCAGATTCCGGTCGGCTTCTGACGGTGGTGGGCGAAATTTGGGTTGTTGGGGTGTTTTTGTCAATTTCTAAAAAAAATTTTGGAGGGTGTTTAGTTAAATTAACAAATCTAGGGGGTTTAAAAAAAATTAAATAATATAGAATAATATTTTGAGAATAAGGAAATAAATGTGTATTTTGGAAAGAATAGAGAATAGAGTAGTGAAAAATTGTATACCAAAGGGGTCCCAAATCTCTCACTTACACAATATACCCTCAAATCAACTTGTAATCGCAAACTCAAGAGGATACCTATACACAATATCTCTACCCGAAGAAGAGCCCTATTCTTCTACCTACAATTTACAACAATTGTGACCTGATTACAAGATCTGAGAAGGAACCCTAGAAACTGAAGAACCCTAACAAAGCCTAATATCACGAGAGAGGAAGAGTGTTATTCTATTGTGCAGATCTCCAAATATGCTACCTTATATAGTTTGACTTGTTGGACTGCTGAAAGCCGTTGGATAATGCAGGAATAATGGAAGAGATTACTTACTTAAGTGAATTCCAAAACGGCAGCGTATAGACAGTAGCAAAGCGGCATCGCTCTAAAGCTTCACTTAATAAAACACACCACAAATAGCTCCAATTGCAGAAGCCAAAAGCATTCTATTACTTGAATTCTAACTCTTATTATCAGAAGAACTTTTCCAAGGTAAAGCACTCATAGGAGGAGTTAAACAAAAATCTCTTACAATATCAGGATTCCCATTAGAGTTAACAATCACATATGGCCTAAAATTTGGCACTTTACCAGAAAGATGATTATTCGATACATCTACTAGACAAGATTAGGCAGAGCTGTGAGCTCATTCGGAATTGTGCTGGTAAGTGAATAGTTCGACAGAATTAATTGTTTCAGCGATGTAAGCATAGAAAACTTCAAGAGATTGTACCTGAAAGCTCCAAATTTGGAAATTAACTGCTGTAATATTTCCTTTATTATCACATGAGATGCCTTTCCATATGGACGATATCTTCGATATCAAATGAGATGTCTTTGGGCAAACTTCCTAGTCATACTGATCTTTCCAGGTCTCTACAAACACCAGTGGATAACCCATAGACTCCACAATGGACAACAAAATAGTAACCCGTGTCACAGGAGACACCAGGGGCATCTAAGCAAAAATTGTTGAACCCAAATTTTATATCAGAATGAACTTTAGGATTATCAAATTCTGGAACTGGACCTTGAAGCAAATTACCACCCAGATAAAGATCAGTATGACTAGGAAGTTTGCTCAAAGACAATGGAACAATACCCGTTAAGTGATTATTTGTCAAGCTCAATATCTTCAAACCACTCAGCCGCATAAGTCTAGTAAAGTTCCTGTCAAATTATTAAAATCAAGCCAAACTTGAGTAAAAGAAGTGAAGTTTTTTAAGAAATCAATTGATCCATTGAGCTTGGAGACACCGGCTTGGCCATCCAATGGAATTTATCCTTGGAGATAGTTCATAGACAAATCCAGGTGTGTTAAACGAGGAAATGTTTGTCCTCCGAGAAAGTCCGGAATAGTCCCTGTAATAGTAGCCAATTTTGCGGAAAAACTCTTCAAACCAGAGGCATCTTTCAAACTTTCAGGAATCTCCAAATGAAAGATGAATGGATTAACATCAAAACTTATAGATTGTAAAGATGTTACTCCTGTAAAGAAATCAGGGGGCAAATATGGAAAAAATTGCTGTTGAATTGCAGAACTTCAAGAAAACTCAAACCAGCAAGACTTGGGTTCGGCCCTTTGAGAAGGTTGTTTGAGACGTCAAGAACAAACAATGAAGAGAGATTCTTGAGGTCTGGAGGAAGGTTTCCTGTTAGATTTTTGTTGCTGATTTGGATCCCGGTGAGCCGGTTATTCAAGCATGTAATGTGAGGCCATTTGCACGGGTCGGAGCCAGACCACCCCAAGGAGTCCGAGTTTTTAATGCTGGCTTTTAGTGCTTCCATGGATAAGGCGTCTGGGGTGGACTGGTTGTGAAGTTTAACAGCGAAAGATAGGAAGCAGAGTAGGAGAGAGATAACTACATAGTTCTTCTTCATTTTCTGGGGAAAATTTATTAGTTAGAAAAAAAAAGAAAAAAAAAAAAAGAATCCAAATTTCTTAAAAGGTAAACAGTTGGAAAACTCAAGAGGAATAGCTTTATTATTCTTTTAAGAAAATTGATATTCGGCTGTAATCTCTGAATCCAAGAAATCCATGGTGTTCCATGATTCTGAATACTGGCTGCTTACATGCATAATTGTATTTGAGCTGCTTAGCAATCTTATAAAAGACAACCTCTGGCATTTGGAGGAAATTACAATGCTAGACAAATTTTACTGCTAACACTTCTCTCTCTGTAAGTTTTTACTTGAATAAATAAATAATTTGATTAATTGTTAATAAAAAGTAATTTCATAAAAGATATCATCCTGCATATCCGAGGGTTTTCCATTTCATCATACAACACCCTTTAATTAAAATAGTGAGCACAATATACAATGAAGGGCCGGGCCGGCCACTCCTTGTAGCCTTAGCTATGTTATGAACAGTTAATGTACATATATTTTTTAAGTGAGAACCAAAGACTAGTGATTAACTAAATGTAAAAATTAAAGTTGATACGAATCTTCCACTTTACTTTAAAGATCAGCACGTTTGTAACTTATCAATCTCGATTCCATATATGTCATTATAAACCGGTACTGTTGGCCTCCACGACTCGACTAGAGATGAGAGAACATTGACAACATGATTCATGTCAGGCCTCTGGTGAGGCTCACTTGTGCAGCAGGTGTCAGCCAGCTCAGCTACTTTGCTTACACTAGCAACGGTTTCCTCGTCTAGCTCAATAGTTTGGTCAATGGCCTCCCGAAATGTGTCCTTGTTACTATGCATTCTGCGAAACCATGGGACAAGGTGCACAGTCTCCTCAGAATTGATTGCATGAACGGCTTTCTTACCTGTGATTAGCTCCATTAACATTACTCCAAAGCTAAACACGTCAACCTTTGTTGTCACTCGTCCAGTTACTGCCAATTCAGATGTAAACATTCATGGCAATTTCTTGATATAATATGGAAATTCAAGATTAGAAAATTTAAATTTTACTTACCTATATACTCTGGAGCAATATACCCAAAAGTTCCCACTAGTCTTGTCTCAACTGAATGTTTTCCTTTTCCTGGAACAAGGCAAGCCAATCCGAAATCTGCAATCTTCGCCTGCATATCATCTCCAAGTAGAATGTTGGATGGTTTAAGATCTCTATGTATAAAACTTTGATTTGCTAAACCATGTAGATATTCAAGACCTCTAGCAACATCCAAGGCGATGCTTAGCCTTCTGCTCCACTCAAGCGGTCTCTGTCTCTTTTCTTTCCAATTGAAAAGATGCCGGCTAAGGCTCCCCTGAGACATGTATTCATAAGCAAGAAGCCTTTCATTTCCATCCAGGCAATAACCAAGAAGTGCCACCAAATGGCAATGCCGAACTTTAGTAAGAACTTCAATTTCAGACTTGAATTCTTTGAATCCCTGCTCATATCCAGGTTTCATCTTTTTAATGGCGATTTTCGTCCCATCCAGAAATTCACCTTTGTAAACAGTCCCAAAACCACCTCTTCCCAATATGTTTCTGTCACTGAAATTATTAGTCACATTCCTCAAAATTTTCCAGCCTTTTGAATGCTTTGGTTTTCTGGTGTAGACAATAACACCTAATCCCACAATAAAGACACCACAAACAGCTCCAATTACAGAACCCACAATCATTCTAATATTTGTATTCTTACCTCTTTTACCAGTGGAACCTATACCGCCCCCATTACTACTGGGAGATTCACTAGGTGGAGTACTAAAAGTTGGTTTTCCTGGAGGACTCAAACTATTATTTCCTGGCTTCCTGCAATATCAGGGTTCCCATCAGTGTTAACTTTTACATTTGTTCTGAAATTAGGTACTTTACCTGAAAGACAATTATTTGACACATCTAACTTGACAAGATGAGGCAAATTTGTGAGCTCATGTGGTATGGTGCCTGTAAGTGCATTGTTGGAAAGAGTCAATTGCTTCAACCATTTAAGCTGAGAAAAACTTCTAGAAATTGTACCTGAAAGCCCCAAATTTGTGAACTTAATACCAGTAATATTTCCTTCAACATTACATGAGATCCCTTTCCATTTTTGATAGGGATCACAGGGATCATTTCCTGTCCAGCTCTGTGCAAATACTAGTGGATACCTCATAGACTCTGCGATCGACAACAAAATAGTAACCCGATTATCACAAGAAACTCCAGGAGTATATGAGCAAAAACTGTTCGATCCTATATCAGAATCAACCTTGGAATCATTAATGATGCTCGAAGCTGGACCTTGGAGTAAATTACCATTCAAATAGATAGCTGCAAGCTTTGGAAGGTGATCCAGAGACAGATTAACGATACCTGTGAAATGATTACTATCCAGCCTGACTTGAGTCAAAGAAGTCATGTTTTGTATCACTTCCAGTGATCCAGTGAGGTTTGGCTCACTCATAAGGCCGCTGAACCAAAGGGTCTGAATTGAAGACGAGGCGAAACTCGCGGGAATTCGTCCTTGGAGATTGTTAGAAGACAAATCCAAATGTCTCATTTGTGGAAATGTATCTCCCCCGAGAAAATCTGGAATAAAACCGGAAATGCTAGCCATATTTGCAGAAAAACTCTGCAAATTTTGGGCGTCTTTCAAACTTTCAGGTATCTCCCAAGGAGAGATTAATATATTACAATCAAAAGATATAGATTTTAAAGAGGTTAATCCATAAAAGAAATCGGAGTGCATATATGTGAAAATATTGGTGCTAAAGTCCACATGTTGAAGAGAACTTAACCCAGCGAGGCTTGGAATGGGCCCTAAGAGGAAGTTGCGGGCCACCTCCAGCACAGTCAAAGAAGAGAGATGCTTGAGGTCTGGAGGAAGTTTTTTATTTCTCAGGTTTTGCTCGCTGATTTGGATCTTGGTCACCCGGTTATTCCGGCATGTAATGAGACGCCATTTGCACGGATCAGGGTCCGACCATCCCAATGATTTTGGGTTTCCTAGGCTGGCTCTCAGTGCTTCCATGGGTAAGGCATCTGGGCTAGACTGAGAGTGAACCGTAAGAATGAAGGAAAGCAGAAAAGTTGAAAGAGAGAAGAGACTGAAAGAAGGCAGAAAGTTTTGTTTCATTTTCTCGGGAAAATTGATAGTGAGTTTAAAAGAAAAGAACCGGAAGCGCTTAGAACGAAAACAGTTGAAGATATGGACTGAATTATCTTATACTTTGAAAAAGCTTCATTTATTTGATTCTGGGTTGGGCATCACCTCCGAATTCAAGGTGTAGTATTTATTCTGAACTTAGCAACTTTCCAGCTGCAAAAAGTTATTTTAGCCGCTCAGGAATCTGCTAAGAAACAAGACGGCATTTAGTAGAGGTTATCACAATGATGAAATTTCTTGGTAACATAATGTTGTCGACCTTGTTAAAAATCCTTCATTGTTTATTCCTTCAACAAATGGAAGAAGCAGTTATATATCCTTCTCTCTTGCATATAGACGTCTCCACTTCTTTTTTCTTTCTTTAAATCCACATTTTAATCCTGGCATTATGAGTTAAATTTCAAAAGAAATGGTCTATCAGAGATTGCAAAAGATTGTCTCATTTTAGTAAAAGCAACAACTCCTATTAACTACCATCAGAAAGTTTTTTTCCCTACAATGGATGTTTGTACAACCACCAATTATAGGGCGAGTGTACTTCACTCGAGCTGACATAGAACTTTATAATTGGATGCTTGAAAATCTATTGAGTAGATTTCAGTTAAAAAAAAAAAAAAACATTGTTAAGATCTGCAAGATAAAATTGTTATATGATGGTTATAACGTTAGGTTTTTGCAGCAAAGACATGAGTAAGTCTGAGCTGTTTTTGCGAGACAAAGGTAAACTTTTATATTCTATGGGGGCATTAGGGTTCATCACTGTTAAGGTTAATTCCATATATATCATCATAAACTAGTTCTACAGGCCTCCACACCTCAACTAGAGATGAGAGTACATTCACTACATGATTCATGTCAGGCCTTTGGGAAGGTTCTCCGGTGCAGCAGTGGTCAGCTAGCTCTGCCGCTTTGCTCACACCTGCAAGAGTTTCCTCGTCTACCCCAAATGTTTCATAAATGGCCGTACGAAATGTATCCTTGTTAGTATGCATTCTGCGAAACCATGGGATAAGGTGCACCATATCCTCAGGAAGAGTTGCATCAATGGCTTTCTTACCTGTAATTAACTCCATTAAGATTACTCTGAAGCTAAACACATCAACCTTCGTAGTAACACGTCCAGTCACTGCCAAGAAGAAACAATCACATATTATAACATATTACTTTTACACAATTATGGCATGCTACATAGCAAAATAATGTTTACCTATACACTCTGGAGCAATATAACCCAAAGTTCCGACTAGTCTGGTTTCAATTGAATGTTTTCCTTTATGTGGAACGAGGCGAGCCAATCCAAAATCTGCAATCTTAGCGTGCATGTCATCTCCAAGAAGAATGTTGGATGGTTTAAGATCTCTATGTATAAAACTTTGATTTGCTAAACCATGTAGATATTCAAGACCTCTAGCAACATACAGGGCGATTCTCAGCCTTTGACTCCATTCAAGTGGTTTCAGCCCTTCCTCTTTCCAATTGAACAGATGCCTGCTCAGGCTCCCCTGGGACATGTATTCATAAAGAAGGAGCCCCTCATTTCCTTCAAGGCAATAACCAAGAAGTGCCACCAAATGACAATGGCGAACCTTGGTAAGAACTTCAATCTCAGACTTAAACTCTTTCAATCCCTGTTCATTTACGGCTCCAGCCTTTTTTACTGCAATTTTCGATCCATCAGGCAGTTCACCTTCGTAAACAGTACCCAAACCACCTCTTCCCAATATCTTTCTGTCACTGAAATTATTAGTTGCAAATCTCAAAAGTTTCCAGTACCTGGAATGCTTTCCTTTTCTGACATACATGAACACGCCTAATCCAATAATAATAATCAGACCACAAACAGCAACAATTACGTAACCCAAATTGTAACTAGCATTTGAATTTCTGTCAAAGTCATCAGTGCTAGGAGGTATCCTAGGTAAACTCAAATGAGGTGCTTCCGCAGGACTGACTTTTGTGTAATTTTGCACATCAGGGTTCCCAGTAGTTTCAACACTTACAGATGGTCTAAAATTTGGCACTTTACCATAAAGATGGTTGTTTGATACATCTAACCTTAGAAGATTAGGCAGAGTTGTTAGCGTAGACATAAAAATCTACCTGTATGGAAATGGGGACTGATCCCGTGAGGTTGAGGTTATTAGCGATCTGCTGCACCTGCACACGTAAGGAAACAAACGTGAAGCGACGGAAAACACCAGGGTGGTGTTTGCCGTAGGCACTCTGACGCTCAAGTCAGCAAGACTGAATGAGGCTAATTTAGTGAAGGTTAGGGAGAAGAAAGGTTACCGGGAGTCTAGTTGGGGATTGTGACTACGGCTGTAATGCGAAGTTCTCAAGAGTAGGAACTTCAGGGTCTGAAGGTGTAATGTTTATGTCCCCTGTGAGAGGGTTGACCTCTGTTTAAATAGTGAATACATGATCTCCGAGTCTTGGTAGGACTGGGAGTCCTTGGGATGGTAGTCTTCTCCAAAGGTGTAGCCTTTGGCGCCCTTATCTCAGCAAGAAAGGGAGTTCGAATGTGCCCCGAGTACGGACCTTGGAGGGGTTAGGTTAGTAATTGACTTCGTCAGCAGAGTTCAAGTGGGAATGTACTTCGTAGGCGACTGTGGGCTCCGAGTTGATCGTGAGCCCAATAGGTGTTCAAGGATTAGGAGGCTTGGGTCTAAACGGTGAGAAGATGAGAAAGTATACTGAATGGGCCTCATCTGCAAACTCTGATTTGGGCTCCATCGGAGTTGGGCCCAAGCTTCCAGCTTAGATGAATGTGTCTTTGTCTTTGGGCCTATTTAGGCCAACGACATTTTTTGACTCTAACAATTAGCTCATTAGGTATAGTACCGGAAAGTGAATTTTCCGAAAGAATCGTTGTTTTCAACGATTTAAGCATAGAAAAATTCGAAGAAATTGTACCTGACAATCCCAAATTATGGAAATTAACAGTCGTAATGTTGTTACCGTCACATGCGATTCCCTTCCACTGTTGAGAGTTACTGCAAGGTCATTTGCTACCCAGCTCTGTGCAAACACCACTGGATAATCCATAGACCCCACAATTGATAACAAAACATTAACCCGACTATCACAAGCAACACCTGGATCATCTAAGCAAAAACTGTTAAACCCATCTCCTATATCCGAATCAACTTTAGACTTATCGAACTCCGGAGTCGGACCTTGAAGAAAATTATTACTCAAATAAACAGTAGAAAGCTTAGGAAGGTTAACCAGAGAGAAAGGAACAATACCTGTTAACTGATTACCTTTCAAGTCCAAATATTCCAAACTATTTAGCCTGGAAAAATCTGGCAAAGGACCTGTAAAATTATTGGCATAAAGCGAAACTAGTGTTAAAGAAGTCATGTTTTGTAACACTGCAACTGATCCGTTGAGCTTCGAGATACTGTTTTGATCACTCAACACAAGAGTTTCAATTGAAGATTTAGCAAAACTAGATGGAATTGATCCCTCTAGATTGTTCATGGCCAAACGCAAAACCTTTAAAACAGGAAATGTATCTCTCCCAAAGAAGTCCGGAATAGTACCCCAGATATTAGCCACATCTGCAGTAAAAATCTGCAAAGCCGTGGCATCTTTTATACTTTCAGGTATCTCCCAAGAAGAAATGTATGGATTATAATCCAAACTTATAGATCGTAAAGAGGTTAAACCTGTAAAGAAATCGGAGTGTATGTATGAGAAAAGATTGTTGTTCAAGTGCACTATTAGAAGAGAAGTTAGCCCGGCAAGACTCGGGATCGGCCCTTTCAGTTGGTTATAAGCCACCTCCAGCACGATCAACGAAGAGAGGTTCTTTAGATCTACAGGAAGGCTTCCTGTCAGATTATGGGAGCTGATTTGGATCTTGGTAACCCGGCTATTCCAGCACGTAATGTATTTCCATTTACACGGGTCTGGGTCGAACCATCCCAGGTTTTCCGGGTTTCCTAGGCTAGCTTTCAGTGCTTTCATGGATAATGCATCTGGGCTGGACTGGGAGTGAACTTGGAGAGTGGAAGAAAGGAGACAGAGCAGTAGGAGAAGGGAAATACCCAGATGGCTTGTATTCATTTTTCTCGGGAAAATTGGAAGTGTTCTGTAAAAATTATGAAGTTTTTTAAGAATTAAATTTAGTTATTTTGGGATTGGCTCATTTAATCTCCAAATTCAAGGTGTTCCAGCCTTCCAGGATTCTCACTTAGCCAGTAAGCTACAGAAAAGTTGATATTGCCGCTTAGGAAAAAAAACAAGAAGTTTAGAGTTAATGTTTGACAGTTTGAGGGAGGAAATTACAATGCTGAGACAAAATTTTATAGTCCTACCCAATTTAATTTCTCGTTGACAGTGTACAATCCCAACAATTTAATTGGCTATAAGACTGAAATATTTGTGTCTTAACGCTAACGGTAAGGTTAAGTGGCGGATCCATCAAATTAAATTGTGTTCAGAGTACTAACATGTACTTATTGAAAAAAATATATAGATTGAAGTAGCCAAGTAGGCACAGGATATTAAAGAAAGGGCATATCACGTATTAACGGTACATTGATAAAGGTTATCATTATTACTATTTATTCTGTTCTTTTAGCAGTTTGCAGGTCACAGGGCTAAAAGACTTTTTGTGTGTACAACTAATTCTGCACCCTAAAGAGTCCAACATGCATTCAAGATTATTGAAAGTTTATCATTGCAACCTAAAATCAGGTCTAATTTACAAGTGGCAACAGAACTCAGAGTTGGTACAATAAATTTATAAAGAATGGTGCGACGCCTGCACCTCAGACAGAGGCGAAAGTGATTCTGGCTGCAATGAATGGGATTTAGGTAAGGCTATGTCAAGTTCCATTTCATGCATGTCATAAGAAATTGTTTCTGTTGGTTTCCACAATTCAGCTGAAGATGATAGAACTTGTACAACATGACCCATTCCAGGCCTTTTGTACGGGTTTTTTTCGCAGCAGTGGTCAGCCAACTCAGCAACTGTGGTTATACTGGCTAGCGCTTCCTCATTGAGTTCAATACTCTGATCAATGGCCTTCTGGAATGTGTTCTTGTTACTACACATTTCGCGGAACCATGTAACCAGATGCACAACATTTTCTGGGTCAGATGCATCAACGGCTTTTCTACCTGTGATTAACTCCATCAAGATTACTCCAAAGCTATATACATCAACCTTAATAGTCGCTCGTCCAGTCTCTGTCAAGTCATATACATAACATTCAACTTCAGGAACAAAAAGAATACACAATTATTAACTGTAACTATTACAGTGTGTAATGTAGACATATTTTTTGTTATTCAATATGACAAATAAAAATGTAAAGAACAGTCATTACCTACATACTCTGGAGCAAGATACCCAAAAGTGCCAGCTACTCTTGTCTCAATTGAATGTTTTCCATTATCTGGAACAAGTCGGACCAATCCAAAATCTGCAACCTTAGCCTTCATATCATCTCCGAGAAGAATGTTAGATGGTTTAAGGTCCCTATGAATAAAACTTTGATGTGCTAAACCATGTAAATACTCAACACCTCTGGCGACATCCAGGGCAATGGTCAATCTTCTTGGCCACTCGAGTGGTTTCAAACCTTCCTCCTTCCACTTGAACAGATGCTTGCTGAGGGTTCCCATAGGCATGTATTCATAAATAAGAAGCCTCTCATTTTCATCCAAGCAAAAACCAAGGAGTGCCAACAAATGGCGATGTCGAACTTTAGTAAGAACTTCAATCTCAGACTTAAACTCTGCCAAGCCCTGCTCACTCACCACTCCGGATTCCATCCGTTTGACTGCAATTTTCTTCCCTTCGTGCAATTCCCCTCGGTAAACAGTCCCGAAACCTCCTTTTCCCAATATATTTTCCTCACTGAAGTTATTAGTTACATTTCTCAGAACTTGAATGGTTGCAAACTCATCTCCATTAATACTCCACCTTGAAGCTGCAGTCAGGACTGCATTTCCATCCCCTGCATTCTGAGGATGTATCACCACAGTATTCGGACTCTGTACTCTACTGGAACGCTTTCGTTTCCTGGTATACAAACAGACACCTAATCCAACAATAAACGCACCACAAACAGCATGCGAACAGGAATATAAGCGAAACTGCTTAAAGCGAATAGAATAAACGCGAACGTTTAAGCGAACAGAATAATACTTTACAACAAAGGGGGAACTAACAAAATAAAAAACGATCTATAATGAGAGCTGAGTTCGGGATTACTGATAGTATGGCCGGAGGTGCTCGACATTCCAAGTCGGGGACTTTGGAACCGTTCAATCTTTTGAGTGGTAAGTCCCCGGTCTGATCACCTTGTCGACCCGGTACGGTCCTTCCCAGATAGGTCTAGTACCCCGCACTGGGTCCCTGCTTCAAGGAGAACTTTTTAATCAAGGTCTCCGACTGTAAGTCTCTTCGCTTGACCTTTGAATCGAAGAACCTTTTCGCACGTTGCTGGTAGGCTGCTATCTTAGCGAAGCCTTGCTGCGGTGCTCTTCAACGAGATCCAGACTTGCCTCATAAGTGCTTCGTTTTCAACCTCATCAAGTCTTCTGAAGAGAACCAGTTCCCACCACAGGAATCATTGCTTCGCAGCCATAGGCTAGCGAAAAGGGGGTTTTTGAGGTGGAGGTTCTTGGAGTTGTCCTGTCGCCATAAGACTTCGGGGAGATCGTCAGCAGACTTCGGGGAGATCGTCAGCCCAATTTCCTTTGGCTGCCCCAAGCTGGCCTTCAGAGTGTGCTTGATGGTCTTGTTAACAGCTTCAACTTGGCCATTCACTTGCGGTCTGGCGATTGAGGCGAATTTTTTATGGATGCCCAGCTCGTCGCAGAACTGTGAACTCCTCGTTATCGAATTGCTTTCCATATCCGAGAGAGGGTGTGGGGAATTCCGTAGCGGCACACTATGTTCTTGAAAACGAAGTCTTCAGCTTTCTGGTCGTGATCGCGGCTAGCGGTTCAGCTTCCACGATTTTGTGAAATAATCTACCGCGACCACGGCATATTTGACCCCTCCTTCCAACTGGCATGGGACCGATAAGGTCGATCCCCCACATGGAAAAGGCTAGGGGCTAGACATCGTTATCAGCTCGTGCGAGGGGGCTCGCGGAATGTTCGCGAACCGCTGGCACTTGTCACATTTCTTGACAAAATTGTGCGTATCTTCTTGGATTCGAGGCCAATAATATCCTGACGAACAACCTTGTTCACGAGAGATCGAGCAGCTGTGTGATTTTCGTAGATCCCTTCGTGAATTTCCCTATGCGTAGTCTGCTTCTTCACTGGTTACAATCGAGGAGAGGGGCACTGAATCCTCTCCTGTACAGCTGGCCCGAGAGTGTGTAACGAGCAGATCTTGCTCGCAGGACCTTGCCTCGACCTTGTCGCTCGGCAAGGTCCCATCCTTGAGGTACTGGACAATGGGAATCACAGGAATTCGGTTGAGTCACATTTACGGCCTGTTCGGTTGAGCATAGTTGGAGCATCGACGAAACGAACAGGAATGTTATTTGGAGCCTTTGAATCCAAAGACGAGGCTATCTTTGCTAGGGCGTCCGCTATAGAATTGCTATCTCTGGGGATCTGAGTGATTTCAAAGTGCTTGAACGACCTGAGAGCGGTTCTAGCTTCTTTCAGGTAGCGGACCATGTTCTCTTCTTGGCTTGGTATTCCCCTAAAATTTGGTTGACGACCAGCATGGAGTCGCTGTAAATGCTGATCGCGGTTGCACCATTTCTTTGGCAAGTCGCAACCGGCAAGCAGGGCTTCATACTCAGCTCATTGTTGTCGTCTTAAACCCGAACGGAGAATACCATGAATTCGAGCCCCCTCGGGGGTTACAAGGAGTAGAGCAGCTAGCACTCGGGGAGAAAGGGGATGCAGAGGCGACCTGGGCCTGTTCGTTTTGCTGCTCCCTTAACCTCTCCAGAGCTCGCTGTAGCTCCTCAATTTTGGGTAACGAAGCCAATTGGGGATTGCTTTCACCATGCGAGTCCGGCCTTCGTGATTACGGTTCAGGAAAGTCCGGAGGTCGGAATCCTCTTTCGCCTCAGCCGGCATTTCCGGCCGCACTCGACCAACGCTGACTAGAGGTGTGTGAAGGCGAAAGATTGTGCGGGCCATTTTACGACCCTCGCGGTGGTACGAACCGCCCCGCGAGGTGTGGGGACCCCGCATGATAGCGACAGGATCGTTCTGCTGGCGGTGACAGGAATCGTCGTGCAGGGCACCTTTGCTTGGGTTCACCTGCGATGGCATGGGACAGCTCGAGATCACTTTTTCGCCGAGTCTCAGCTTTGCCGGCACCCTGCTCGGGGCATGGTTTGTGTTCGCTGGTCCTTGGGAGCCCGTAGGCTTACTTTTGCCATGCTTACCCTTACGTCTACGCGCTGCAGTGCTCGCGGCACAGGCTATTTCCCTTTGCCTGCTTTCGCGCGACCTGCAGGCGTTTTTGGCGGTTGCACCGCCCCAGCTGTTGTAGATGACATCATTGGTCCAAACGGTCCAGCCTCTAGTTGACCATCTGGAGAGTATTATCGAACTTTCCAGGTAGCTTCTGATGGCGAGGTCAAGCTTCGAAGCTGCCGGATATCCCCGCAGCATTTTGTGAAAAATGGAAGTACCCTGGAGGGGGTATCCCTTGGGTCAAGGGGACTCCTCAGCGCGTGGTTAGCTTGCTCAGGTTCAGATTGGCAGGCATTGTTGCTGTAGGACCAGTAGGTTAAAGATTCTCCTGATGAAGGATGAACACTAAATCAGGCCCTCCTTCTAGCGCCAAACTGTTGATGCGTGATTCTAACACCAACTATCGACACGTGTGTAACGTTGATTGGGAAGAGACACACGATTATGTATAGAAAATGTGAAACAAATGCAATGGGAGCTTTTAAAGTGGTTCGGATGCTAAGGTAGCAAGTCCTACGTCCATGATTTGTATTAGTATTGTGGTCAGGTCGCAACAGGGACGACTTACAAAATGATTAGGAAAAGTAAATACAAAGTTTGCAAGAGAGAGAGTTCAAGTGTAAAAATGGCCGAATCCTTTTAATGAAGGGGTCTCTCTTTTATAACCAGATGAGGGGTGTAATTATCATTAAATCCATGGTTGGTGTGAGTTCAGGACATAATCCAGCTTTACGTCCATTGCCCCCTCCAAGCTGATTTCACGCGATTTATTGCAGGGAAATGGACACGTGGGAGCTCATAGCGTTTGAGGCCTGACGTATACTTACCGTTCTGACGGAGCAGATCACATGTATCACGTGACTTCCACGTCATCCCTTGTTTTCCCAAGTATAACAAGATTGAATAATTGGCGCTTCTCAGATATCTGAAATAAGATATGTTCTTGGTCACGCCCCCCAAAAGGTAAGGTCTCCTTCTTTCTTCCTCCCTCTTTTTTTTGTGTTTGGTTGGTGGGCAATGGCGTTGGGTCTCCCGGTGTTTCACCAGAGACGCGACGTTGTCGTCGGATTCGAGCCATGGATGGCGGCTCGAGTTACTGTTAGGGTTTAAGGGATTTGTCCCATGCCGCCGTGCGGGACAACATGCGATGGCTAAAATGACCTGTCTATCAGTGTTGCAGACTCTGTAATGGAACTGTCAACGTCCAGACCCGAGGAAGCGACCAGTTCGTCCTCGCGGGACGTTCCCGCTGATGCATCCCTTGATGTCTTCTCGGTTCTCACCCAAGAAGAGTTCAATAGGATAAAAAGACAGTTTGACGTCCGCGCAGAGGTGTTCCTCGACCACACCCGATCGTCACAGCATCCTTTCGAAGGCCTTGCTGCGATCTCTGAAGAGATCTTCAAGGGTGGAGGGATGATTCCCTTCCATCCTTTCATCAGGTTGGTCCTGGATCACTTCGGGATCGCACCGATGCAGTTGACGCCAAACGCGTATGTCATCGCCGTCGCGATGTACATCGCATGCCGCGAGAGTGGCTTGGGCGAGCCAACGGCAGTGGAGCTCGGTATCGCTTACTATCTCAAAAAGAGTAAGGACAAGGATTCCTATTACTTGTCCCGGCGACCTACCATCGCCGAAGGGATACATAGCTATCCCAGCAACGCGGGGGCCTACGAGACAAAATTCTTCTTTTTCTGCTATGACGGCCACTGCCGTTTTCAGGAACTAAGTAGGTTCTTTTTCGCTAGGTTCATTGTCTGTTCGTCTGCTTTATCATAACGACCTGCCTTCTTTTGCAGTTAATAAGACGACCAGCCAAGACCTGCTTGATGACCCAGACAGGCTCGTGTCTTTTGGAGTCCTTCCCGAGGAAAGCCGGGACACGAGGAAGCTCGTGACAACCACGAACTTGCGGAAGTACGGTTTCATCAATAACAACGCGTCTTTGGAACCCCTAGAAGGTAAGTTACACTGATTCCCTTCTGGTCGCAGAATAACTTTTGCTTACTAATGTACTTGCATACAACGACTATGCCTCCGAAAGAGTCTGAGCAACCTCGCCGAGCACCGTTTGTCTTCCCTCAATCGAGGAGAGAGAGAGCGATCGAAGCTGCTCATCCCATTACAGCACAACCGGTGCGAACAGCCACGCCTTCCCAGTCCCGTCCTGTGCAAGAAGCAACCAGGACAGAACAGGTCGCTCAGACACCACCTGCTCGCCCAAGGCGAAAGGCTCCGACCCAGAGGTCGAAGAAGAGGAAGCAGATTTAGGTCGACGAGTCAGAGACCGAATCTGAGGAAGAACCCTTGAGGTCGCAACAGGACTCAAGAAGGAGGTCAGGCAAGGAACCCGCGGACGAGACGATCGCTGCCAACAAGGTGAAGGGCACGCCAGTGCTGGACTCGTTGGGGAGCCTGCCCAAATACTTGCAGCCGATAGTCTATTCTCTGCTCGAGTGTGGGCTATCGTAGTCATATGATGAGTTCGCCGATACGGGCGACGACCTGATGACCACGTCGTTTCAACATCTAAGCAATGTAAACGAACTGCTCTTAAAGTTTGTCTGCCGTTTTTATTCTAATTCACTTCTTGCTCGCAGGCTTTGCTTGCGATGAGGATGTCTATGGAGAAGACTCGGCTGGGGGCCGCAAAGGGGGCAAGCGACCTAAAGGAGGAGGTCGCGAAGCTCAAATAGAACCTGGAGTCCGTCGAAGCGGAAAGAATGCAAGCATTCGAAGCGGTGAACAGGTACCTGAACCAAAAGGATGCCGCTCTGCGAATAGTGGACTTCCAAAAGGCGGAGCTTGAACGACGTGCGGAGGAAGTAAATGAGCTTCAGAGGACAATTGCTGGGCTCTCCAAGGAGGTCGGAGAGAAGGACCAGAAGCTCCAGACGACCTCCATATGGGCTCAGCGAGCTGAACAAGAAAGGGAGGTTTCCGAAAAGGAAAGGCTTGCTCTGGAGGCCGAACTTCAGGAGAGTCGGGAAAGAATTGCTTCACTGACTGAAGAAATGCGTATCCAGTCAGAGGAGATCGAGGATAAGGCCGCCGACTGGGCAATCGGGTCCATCTATGCCTTACAACCGAAGAACCCAGATCTGGATATTTCCGACCTCCCAGAGGGGTGGTAAGAGACCTTGCGGATTCTGGCGGAGGAAGATGATCAGGCAGCAGCGGCCACCCGAAGATCTGACCAGGCATAGGGTTCTGGTCCTGCTTCGAAGGATCCCCTCGACCAGCCATAGTGCAATGGGTCTGACTCCATTAAAATAGGATCTTAATTTTTGTTGTAAATAAATGAAAATACATTTTGCTTTCAATTGCTGTTCGCTTTATCATATATGAGTGCAGTTTACAATTCAGTTTTACATAGGCAATATTACATGTGAATCGTTACAAGCGAACAGAATAAATGCGAACTGCTTAAGCGAATAGAATAAACGCGAACTGTTTAAGCGAACAGAATAATACTTTACAACAAAGGGGGAACTAACAAAATAAAAAACTGATCTATAATGAGAGCTGAGTTCGGGATTACTGATAGTATGGCCGGAGGTGCTCGACATTCCAAGCTCGGGGTACTTTGGAACCGTTCAATCTTTTGAGATGGTAAGTCCCCGGTCTGATCACCTTGTCGACCCGGTACGGTCCTTCCCAGATAGGTCCTAGTACCCCCGCACTTGGCTCCCTGCTTCCAAGGAGAACTTCTTTTAATACAAGGTCTCCGACCTGTAAGTCTCTTCGCTTGACCTTTGAATCGAAGAACCTTTTCGCACGTTGCTGGTAGGCTGCTATCCTTAGCGAAGCCTTGCTGCGGTGCTCTTCAACGAGATCCAGACTTGCCCTCATAAGTGCTTCGTTTTCAACCTCATCGTACAAGTCTCTCTGAAGAGAACCAGTTCCCACCTCCACAGGAATCATTGCTTCGCAGCCATAGGCTAGCGAAAAGGGGGTTTTTGAGGTGGAGGTTCTTGGAGTTGTCCTGTACGCCCATAAGACTTCGGGGAGATCGTCAGCAGACTTCGGGGAGATCGTCAGCCCAATTTCCTTTGGCTGCCCCAAGCTTGGCCTTCAGAGTGTGCTTGATGGTCTTGTTAACAGCTTCAACTTGGCCATTCACTTGCGGTCTGGCGATTGAGGCGAATTTTTTATGGATGCCCAGCTCGTCGCAGAACTGCTTGAACTCCTCGTTATCGAATTGCTTTCCATTATCCGAGATGAGGGTGTGGGGAATTCCGTAGCGGCACACTATGTTCTTGAAAACGAAGTCTTTCAGCTTTCTGGTCGTGATCGCGGCTAGCGGTTCAGCTTCCACCGATTTTGTGAAATAATCTACCGCGACCACGGCATATTTGACCCCTCCCTTTCCAACTGGCATGGGACCGATAAGGTCGATCCCCCACATGGAAAATGGCTAGGGGCTAGACATCGTTATCAGCTCGTGCGAGGGGGCTCGCGGAATGTTCGCGAACCGCTGGCACTTGTCACATTTCTTGACAAAATTGTGCGTATCTTCTTGGATTCGAGGCCAATAATATCCCTGACGAACAACCTTGTTCACGAGAGATCGAGCAGCTGTGTGATTTTCGTAGATCCCTTCGTGAATTTCCCTCATGACGTAGTCTGCTTCTTCACTGGTTACACATCGGAGGAGAGGGGCACTGAATCCTCTCCTGTACAGCTGGTCCCCGATGAGTGTGTAACGAGCAGATCTTGCTCGCAGGACCCTTGCCTCGACCTTGTCGCTCGGCAAGGTCCCATCCTTGAGGTACTGGACAATGGGAATCATCCAGGAATTCGGTTGAGTCACATTTACGGCCTGTTCGGTTGAGCTGATAGTTGGAGCATCGACGAAACGAACAGGAATGTTATTTGGAGCCTTTGAATCCAACGACGAGGCTATCTTTGCTAGGGCGTCCGCTATAGAATTGCTATCTCTGGGGATCTGAGTGATTTCAAAGTGCTTGAACGACCTGAGAGCGGTCTTAGCTTCTTTCAGGTAGCGGACCATGTTCTCTTCCTTGGCTTGGTATTCCCCTAAAATTTGGTTGACGACCAGCATGGAGTCGCTGTAAATGCTGATCGCGGTTGCACCCATTTCTTTGGCAAGTCGCAACCCGGCAAGCAGGGCTTCATACTCAGCCTCATTGTTGGTCGTCTTAAACCCGAACCGGAGAATACCATGAATTCGAGCCCCCTCGGGGCTTACAAGGAGTAGAGCAGCTAGCACTTCGGGGGAGAAAGGGGATGCAGAGGCGACCTGGGCCTGTTCGTTTTGCTGCTCCCTTAACCTCTCCAGAGCTCGCTGTAGCTCCTCAATTTGTGGTAACGAAGCCAATTGGGGATTGCTTTCACCCATGCGAGTCCGGCCTTCGTGATTACGGTTCAGGAAAGTCCGGAGGTCGGACTCCTCTTCGCCTCAGCCGGCATTTCCGGCCGCACTCGACACACGCTGACTAGAGGTGTGTGAAGGCGAAAGATTGTGCGGGCCATTTTTACGACCCTCGCGGTGGTACGAACCGCCCCGCGAGGTGTGGGGACCACCCGCATGATAGCGATCAGGATCGTTCTGCTGGCGGTGACAGGAATCGTCGTGCAGGGCACCTTTGCTTGGGTTCACCTGCGACGTGGCATGGGACAGCTCGAGATTCACTTTTTCGCCGAGTCTCAGCTTTGCCGGCACCCTGCTCGGGGCATGGTTTGTGTTCGCTGGTCCTTGGGAGCCCGTAGGCTTACTTTTTGCCACTTGCTTACCCTTACGTCTACGCGCTGCAGTGCTCGCGGCACAGGCTATTTCCCTTTGCCATGCTTTCGCGCGACCTGCAGGCGTTTTTGGCGGTTGCACCGCCCCAGCTGTTGTAGATGACATTCATTGGTCCAAACGGTCCAGCCTCTAGTTGACCATCTGGAGAGTATTATCGAACTTCTCCAGGTAGCTTCTGATGGCGAGGTCAAGCTGCGAAGCTGCCGGGATATCCCCCGCAGCATTTTGTGAAACTGGAAGTACCCTGGAGGGGGTATCCCCTTGGGTCAAGGGGACTCCTTCAGCGCGCTGGTTAGCTTGCTCAGGTTCAGATTGGCAGGCCATTTGTTGCTGTAGGACCAGTAGGTTAAAGATTCTCCTGATGAAGGATGAACACTAAATCAGGCCCTCCTTCTAGCGCCAAACTGTTGATGCGTGATTCTAACACCAACTAATCGACACGTGTGTAACGTTGATTGGTCAAGAGACACACGTGATTATGTATAGAAAATGTGAAACAAATGCAATGGGAGCTTTTTAAAGTGGTTCGGATGCTAAGGTAGCAAGTCCTACGTCCACTGATTTGTATTAGTATTGTGGGTCAGGTCGCAACAGCGGACTGACTTACAAAATGATTAGGAAAAGTAAATACAAAGTTTGCAAGAGAGAGAGTTCAAGTGTAAAAATGGCCGAATCCTTTTAATGAAGGGGTCTTCTCCCTTTTATAACCAGATGAGGGCGTGTAATTATCATTAAATCCATGGGTTGGTGTGAGTGTCAGGACATAATCCAGCTTTACGTCCCATTGCCCCCTTCCCAAGCTGATTTCACGCGATTTATTGCAGGGAAATGGACACGTGGGAGCTCCATAGCGTTTGACAGGCCTGACGTATACTTACCGTTCTGACGGGAGCAGATCACACTGTATCACGTGACTTTCCACGTCATCCCTTGTTTTCCCAAGTATAACAAGATTGAATTACGCACAGGATATTAAAGAAAGGGCATATCACATATTAACGGTACATTGATAAAGGTTATCATTATTACTATTTATTCTGTTCTTTTAGCATTTTGCAGGTCACAGGGCTAAAGGACTTTTTGTGTGTACAACTAATTCTGCACCCTAAAGAGTCCAACATGCATTCAAGATTATTGAAAGTTTATTATTGCAACCTAAAATCAGGTCTAATTTACAAGTGGCAACTGAACTCAGAGTTGGTACAATAAATTTATAAAGAATGGTGCGACACCTGCACCTCAGACAGAGGCGAAAGTGATTCTGGCTGCAATGAATGGGATTTAGGTAAGGCTATGTCAAGTTCCATTTCATGCATGTCATAAGAAATTGTTTCTGTTGGTTTCCACAATTCAGCTGAAGATGATAGAACTTGTACAACATGACCCATTCCAGGCCTTTTGTACGGGTTTTTTTCGCAGCAGTGGTCAGCCAACTCAGCAACTGTGGTTATACTGGCTAGCGCTTCCTCATTGAGTTCAATACTCTGATCAATGGCCTTCTGGAATGTGTTCTTGTTACTACACATTTCGCGGAACCATGTAACCAGATGCACAACATTTTCTGGGTCAGATGCATCAACGGCTTTTCTACCTGTGATTAACTCCATCAAGATTACTCCAAAGCTATATACATCAACCTTAATAGTCGCTCGTCCAGTCTCTGTCAAGTCATATACATAACATTCAACTTCAGGAACAAAAAGAATACACAATTATTAACTGTAACTATTACAGTGTGTAATGTAGACATATTTTTTGTTATTCAATATGACAAATAAAAATGTAAAGAACAGTCATTACCTACATACTCTGGAGCAAGATACCCAAAAGTGCCAGCTACTCTTGTCTCAATTGAATGTTTTCCATTATCTGGAACAAGTCGGACCAATCCAAAATCTGCAACCTTAGCCTTCATATCATCTCCGAGAAGAATGTTAGATGGTTTAAGGTCCCTATGAATAAAACTTTGATGTGCTAAACCATGTAAATACTCAACACCTCTGGCGACATCCAGGGCAATGGTCAATCTTCTTGGCCACTCGAGTGGTTTCAAACCTTCCTCCTTCCACTTGAACAGATGCTTGCTGAGGGTTCCCATAGGCATGTATTCATAAATAAGAAGCCTCTCATTTTCATCCAAGCAAAAACCAAGGAGTGCCAACAAATGGCGATGTCGAACTTTAGTAAGAACTTCAATCTCAGACTTAAACTCTGCCAAGCCCTGCTCACTCACCACTCCGGATTCCATCCGTTTGACTGCAATTTTCTTCCCTTCGTGCAATTCCCCTCGGTAAACAGTCCCGAAACCTCCTTTTCCCAATATATTTTCCTCACTGAAGTTATTAGTTACATTTCTCAGAACTTGAATGGTTGCAAACTCATCTCCATTAATACTCCACCTTGAAGCTGCAGTCAGGACTGCATTTCCATCCCCTGCATTCTGAGGATGTATCACCACAGTATTCGGACTCTGTACTCTACTGGAACGCTTTCGTTTCCTGGTATACAAACAGACACCTAATCCAACAATAAACGCACCACAAACAGCACCGATCACAGAACCAACAATTTTTCCAGTATTCTTGCTCCCACCACCTGGGGAACTGGTTTCTCCGCTATGAGTACCAGGAGTTCCAGATGAACCCCCTGGTGGTGTTCCCGGCGTGAAACTACTGTTATCTTTTCCAATATCAGGGTTCCCATGAATGTTAACAATCACGTTCTGTCTAAACTTCGGCACTTTACCAAAAATATGATTATTTGACACATCTAATTTCTCAAGTTTAGACAAAGTTGTAAGCTCAGTAGGTATAGTACCAGTAAGTGAATTACCAGATAGTAACAAATGTCTCAACGATGTAAGCTGAGAGAAATTCGAAGAAATAGTGCCGGTGAGCCCCAAATTTTGGAAATTAACAACCGTGATGCTTCCACCACTATCACACGAAATCCCCTTCCATATCTGAGAGGCATCACAAGGATTATTTCCTTTCCAACTCTGTGCAAACACCACAGGATAACCCACAGATTCGGCAATTGATAACAAAATATTAACCTGACTAGCACAAGGAAAACCAGGATCGTCTAAACAAAAGCTATTAGACCCAGTTCTCATATCCACCCTAATTTTAGAAGTATCAAACTTTGGAGTCGGACCCTGAAGCAAATTATTAGTCAAATTGACCGTAGAAAGTCCAGGAAGATTAACCAAAGATGAAGGAACAATACCCGTCAACTGATTATCTCTCAAGCTGAAGTCCTTCAAGCCAGTAAGCCCTGATAAATCTGGCAAAGGACCCGTAAATTGGTTCGAATAAAGCCAAACCTGAGTCAAAGAAGTCATGTTTTGTAGCAGAGAAACTGATCCATTTAGCTTAGTGTCACTGATTTGGCCATTCAACCAAAGTGTCTCAATTGCTGACCCAGCAAAACTCTCCGGAAGTTGCCCATGGAGGTTGTTCATGGCTAAATTCAAACTCTTTAATTCTGGAAATACATCTCCCCCAAGAAACCCAGGAATAGCTCCTGTAACATTAGCCCCGTTTGCAGAAAATTGCTGCAAAGTCGTTGCATTTGTTAAACTCACAGGAATCTCCCAAGCCTCAAAGGAGTTATAATCAAGGCTTATATTTTGCAAAGAAGTTAACCCAGAAAAGAAATCCGGGGGGAAATATGTAAAATTGTTGTCATTAAAAAGCACTTCTTGAAGAGAACTCAACCCAGCAAGACTTGGGATAGGCCCACTCAGTTCGTTCTTCATCACATCAAGTGTAGTCAGAGAAGTTAAGTTCCTGAGGTCCGGTGGGAGAGTTCCTTTCAGGCTCTGTGACCCGATTCGGATCACGTAGACCCGATGGTCCTCCCAACAGGCAACGTATTCCCACTTACACGGGTTAGGATCGGTCCAGCCCAAGCTTGCCGGGTTGCCTAAGCTGGTTTTGAGAGCTTGCATTGCTGCAGCATCTGGACTGGACTGAGAGTGAACTGAGAGAATTAAAGAGAGAAGAGAGAGCAGGAAAATAAAAACAGCGAAATGGGCATTCTTCATTTTCGGGAGAAAAATGATTAGGAAGAGAGAATGAGCCGTAAAGAGAAGGGAGAAGAGGAGGGAAAGTCCAGATAGTGTTTCTGCATTTTCTTAAATGGAGTAAAAAAGTACTCGAGAAAAGTTAGGAGAAAGTTGCAACCTGTTCCTTTTATGTTTCGGAAAATTGTATTAGTTACATGAAGGAAAAAGATGTAAAATACCACATAATAATCACAAGTAAATAAGGTAAATAAAAAGATAACTGAGAAAGACGGGGTTGAGGTGAAGGGAATTTGTTGGGGTAAAAATTGAGGAATTAAAGGCGGAAATTGAAATTAGGTGGCAGGCCACATTGTCGAAAACGCGTTGTGGAATTCCAACGCCTGGACCATCTACAGAGCATTTAGACTTAAAGGTGAAGTGACTGTGAAGTGTGAACTCTGTATAATGGTAAACGTTAAGGACAGGGATTCTTCATTCAGATTTTCTATTTCAACACTTAGTTTATGTACGCCTTTAGTATCATCCAAAACTTCTATTTCAATATGTTTTCCATTTGAATATTTTGTACCTCAACAACATTTTCCTCTGATTTCATTTTGATTTTGTGTTAAAAAATTGGCAACTGTTTTTACAATGATAATTATGTCTGCTGTGTAGTCTGATAACCTCTTATCCTTGAACATCTTGACCTGCAAAGTAAAAAACACAAACTGAATTTCCTCACCGTCATTTGGATTTCCTCGTCTTGAAATGGAAAAGAATCAAGATACTGGATCATGATCTTTTGGACCTTCGATGATGTTGGGCATGCATATAAAATTGTAAAAAAGCCAGTAAGTTAAGCTGGATGTTGTTATGATCTCTTAGACTTGAAACGTTGGGCCTGGATTATTAAGAAGCTGTATCTTGTTATCTTCTCCAATATAGAAATTGTAATCCTGCTCCCTGTGTTCTTCTCCTCTTTCCCATTTATAGAACTTTAATTATTTAGCCTATTGTGTAAATTTAATAAGAGGCAGCTCGCATTAGTAAATTGGTGGGCTATCACAAGCCCATGGGCTTTAGTTTTGGGCCTGTAAAGATTATATGTTAGTAAGGTGAATAAAGTAAACAGACGACACTGTTTATTGTATTAGAGCATCTCCAAATGTCTCTTTATAAGACTCAAACTCTTTATTATAAAGAATCTATCCATAAAAATAAGAGTCCAACAAGCTCTTTATCTTTCAACTATAAATTAGAGAGTGAGTTTGACTCTCCACATTTAGAGAGTTAAATTTCATTCTCTATCCTAATTTTAATTAATAAACTACAAGTTTCTATGCATTTTATTTATTAATTCTCTCTCCCATTAAGTCTATTTCTTTAAAATAAAGAGCATCTTCATTAAATTTAAAGAGTCTATTAGATTTGAATAAAAAATATTTTCTTTATATTTAAAAATTAACAAAGATGCTCTTTATTTATATGAAAGATGCTCTTCAAAATAAAGAGTACCATTGGAGGTGCTCTTAGAACATCTCAAAGCATCTTTTATATAAGTAAAAAGCATCTTCATTAATTTCTAAATATAAATAACAAAATTTTTATTCAAATCCAATAGGCTCTTTAAATTTTAATTTTCTCTCCTATTAAGTTTCAAGAATTAATAAATAAAATACATAGAAATTTGTAATTTATTAATTAAAATTAGGATAAAGAGTGAAATTTGACTCTTGGAGAGTCAAACTCACTCTTTAATTTATATTTAAAGTAGACTCTTTATCGTTTAAAAATAAATTAAAGAGTGAGTTTGACTTTTTATAGTTAGAGAGTCAAATTTCGTTTTCTATTCTAATTTTAATTAATAAATTACAAGTTTTTATGCATTTTATTTATTAATTCTTTCTCCTATTAAGTATCTTTTTTGAAAATACAGAGTATTTTCATTAAATTTAAAAGTCTATTGGATTTGAATAAAAATTTTGTTCTTTATATTTAAAAATTAATGAAGATGCTCTTTATTTATATGAAAGATGTTTTTTAAAATAAAGAACACCATTATAGATGCTCTTATGGAAAACTGAAACAATTTGCTATAATCATCTACCGTAAGCATTCAAGAGGACATTTGAGTTTCTGCAAGTTTTCTAGTATTTGAATTTCTATTCCAACCATTTGAGTTACTTTTATCTCCACTTTCATTTACTTCTTGGGGTCCACTTTCATTTACTTCTTGGGGGGTGTTTGGTTAGAAGTAATATAAGATTATTGGGTTAAGTCATCCTATATTATTTGATTATCACGTTTGATTGTCAAGTAATATAAGATTCTGATAATCTTCCAATACCAATAGTAGTTACTATTAGTAATATTGGAGGTAATCTGATTACCTTCATTTTCTTAGGTATTGTAAAATTATTAAGGTAATCTTATTTTTGTTATAATTCTATCAGTTATTAATAACAATTTTGGACAATAATGCCCTTGTTTTAAAATCAATTTACATTAATCCACTATTACAATTTTACCCTTATTTGATTAAGTTTTTGGACAATAATGCCCTTATATTTAAAACAAATTGTAGACCACTACTACCACCAAGCCACCATCGCCGACAGCAAGCCAACCACCACTGATCGCTGCCGAAAAGTCGCCAAAGTCGCTAAAAATGACCGAGAGTCTCTGAGAAACTTTGATATGGCCGTTTTTTGCCATATTGATGGCCGAAAAGGGCCATATAAAGTAGATCTGGTCGTTAACGGCTAGACCATGGCTATTTTCGGCCAGATCTGGGTGAGATATAGCCGTTAACGGTCAGATTCATCGATCTGGTTGGAAATGGCCAAAATAGATCTGGCCATTTCCGACCAGATCTACTTTGATATGGCCATTTTTGGCCATCAATATAACTAGAAACGGCCATATCGGAGCCTCCCAGTGACTCTCGACCATTTTTAGCGACTTTGACGACTTTCCGGTGGCGCCGATGGTGGTTGGCAGTGGCTTGGGGTGGTGGGGGTTATTTTGTTATAAATTAAAGTTTTATATAAGCTAGGGTGTCTTAGCTAAATCTGAAATGTTGGGGGTTAAAAAAATATATTCAAAAATCAATAATAAAAATAATATTATATTAATATTTAAAAAGGGGGCAATTTAGTAATTTAAATAACATATCCACTAATTTATTCCTCCCAACCAAACATATTGATATAACATATCCACTAATTTATTCCTCCCAACCAAACATATTGATATAACATATTCACCAATTTATTCAAACTAACCAAACACATTTTCTTAAAGATTCTCAGTAATCTTAAAAGTAATTTAACTTTCTAGTGATACAACATTCTCAGTAATCCAATATTCTCTGAATCAAATGCGCCATTGGAGGTATCCCAGGTAATGTCATAAAAGGTGTTTCAGCAGGAGTGCTATTACTTTGTTTTTCCATATCATTTAAGTTTTCTTATATTAATTTGATAATAGGATTATGATTAATTTTATGGTTACCTTTATGATTATTAGATTAATGTTTAGGTTTTATATTATTTTCCTTATTTATCTTAGGATATTATAGGATTTTATCTTTATCACATAACTTAGAATTTATTATAAATAGGGTTGTAATTCTCATTTCTTTTCTTCTTTCCTGAGTGGAATTTATAGGTCCATATAGTTTAGCTTTTTTCATTCCAATCTAGTTTGTTTAGTTTTTTATTGTTCTGTCCTTTTTTACTTTAGTCCTTTTTTTTTTTTTTTTTGTAATTTATATTAAAGAAAAAAAAAGTGAGACAAAATAAATAAACAAATAAAAATAAAAGAGAGTGAGGAGAAAAAAAAGAGACTGTGAGTTAAAAAAAAAAAAAAGTGAAAAAAAGGAAAAATAATTATGAGCTAATTGATATGATATCTTCCAAGTATGAGCCACGGAAATGTGCATATTGTTGTCTTCCATATTTTAATGGGCATGTTCATCCATAAAAGTTGATTGATTGGATGGTTAGAGTTGAGCAATTCTTTGCAGATTTTGACATCTACGGAGAAACAAGTAAAGTATGTCGTTCCTCTATTGAAGGATGATGCATTTTACTGGTGGGGATGCTTGCCGACTGATAGACAGAGGTTTGGAAAAAGGCCTCTACAACCGTATAAAGCATTTGATAAAAGTCCGATTCATTTCCTTCAAGTACACAGATTTGTTGTTTCAACAGTACCGAGATTGTGATCAAGGCACGAGATCTGTTTTTTGTAGATATCCAACATTATATTTTTTGTAAGATTTTGGATTGGATTGGATAATGTCCTGAAGTACGAGGTCAAATTCATGTACATGTTGCTCATACATTAGGCGAAGTTGTTCGACTAGCTACACAAGTTGAAATGAAGCTGGAAGAGAGATGTCAAGCTCTAGCCCACCCTACTTCATCTATTGTCATGGAAGAGCAAATTTCTGCCCACTCAAGAAGGTCCCGCCACACCATCCCCTAAAGAAGAAAGTGTGAGCACGCAAAAAATTCAAGGTGACAACACGTGGTCAATTTGAGAAGAAACTGCTGAAATGGTACAAGAGATTTCAGATGAAGTTGCAATTCAAGATAAACATGAAGTTGAATTGGGAGATCATGTCATCCCCTTGTCTTCTTTCTTGAGTGGAATTATTTGCCCTGTGTGAGTGTTTATTCAACGTCTCTAGAACGATATCTAGCCCATTTCCTTTGTTTTCACCTTGTCAACTGATAGTTGAGTCTACCTCGACATCAGGATGAGTGTAATTCTATAAGCTTCCGCTAACCCGCTGCATTAGTTAACTGCAACATTTTTTCTGAACTTTGGCACTTTACCGTAAAGATGATCATGCGACACATCCAATTTAACAAGATCAGGTTGAGTTGTAAGCTCATTTGGTAGAGTACCCGTAAGCGCATTGCGCGACAGTATCAACATTTTCAGCGATGTAAGCATAGAGAAATTAGAAGAAATTGTACCTTGAAGCTCCAAGTCGAAGAAATTAATGATCACAATGTTGCCTTTACCATCACATGTGATCCCTTTCCATTTCAGAGAGGCATTACAAGGATTATTTCCTATCCAGCTTTGTGCAACACCACTGGGTAACGCACAGACTCGGCAATTGT